CCATTTCATCTTCCAAAAGGGCTAAGCTTGGACCCTTTCCACTTGTACGCAGACAAGGCGTTGCCATTCTTCTTCCCGTAACCAACTCAAGAGGTGTCATATGCAAATCATGCAGCTCACTTGAGGGACACACCATTAGTGCCAGCTGAAGTGCCGCTATCCAATTTAAGCCTGTGTGCTGGCAGATTTTAACAATGCAATTTTTCAAAACACCATTCATTTTTTCACAAAGCCCTTGGCTTGCCGGATGATAAACTGCACCAAGACACTGTTTAATTCCCAATTTTTGCAAAATCAATTTCATCGTCTTATCCACAAACTCTTTCCCATTATCTGAGGATATCCGATCTGGAAGTTCCCACCTGCTTATGACCTCTACAAAGAAACTTGGCAACCAACTGGGCGTCCTTCCACTTGGTCGGACAAAACTCAGGCCATCGCGAAAATCTATCCACAACGACTAGCATATATCTCTTACCTTCAACTGGTTTTATCATGTCAACAAAGTCCACAACTAACTCACACATATGACCCCTCGGAGTTGGAATGTGACCAGGAGGAACCATCACACCCCTTCGAACATTATTTTTCAAGCAGATAGTGCACCTACCTATAACATAATCTGTTCAAGCAAGCATGGTGCCCAAAAACCATACTCCTTTGTAATCTTTCTGCTAACTTCCCCCCTTGCAACATGAGCTAACCCATGGGCCTCCTTGCTGGTGTGGTGGTGGTGTGTTAGTATGTGTTGCACTGGTCCAAGTGGATCAAACACAGCAGTGCTGCTGGAGTTTTTATACACTGTGTCCACTCACTGTCCACTCTGTTATACATTTCTACCTTGTTGGTCCACCTTGTAGATGTAAAGTCGGAGACGATAGCTCATCTGCTGCTGCACTGTTTGTGTTGGTCATCCTCTAGTCCTTCATCAGTGCTCACAGGACGCTGCCCACAGGAAGCTGCTGGCTGGATATTTTCGGTTCTCAGTCCAGCAGTGACACTGAGGCAGGGTTGAGATAGCTACTGAAAAATTAGTAGTTAGCTACTTTGTAGCTACTTTCCCAAAATGTGTAGCTAGCTACAATTTAGCTACTTTTTAGCTGTTTTTTGAAAAGTTGTGCACTACTTTTTAGCTACTTTTAAAGCGTGATTGTCAATGTTTGTGAATCTCCACCTGACACACCAAACAAGCCCAACTGACAGTGTGAACAAGACACTGCATTTAATCATGAGCCAGAAAGAAACGTACAATTGAAAAGCTGCAAATATGCAAAAAGATCACCAAAAAGTGAGTTTAAGTGTAACCAACAATCAAACTTACACAACCAAAGGCATGATATCCAACAGATATTTAGTCAGTCATTCCAGGTTTTTCCTAACAAAAATCAACAAAAATAACTGAATACAAACCAAACGATTTTGTGCAAAGCATTGTCAACTGTTAAAATAAAACTGCTCCAATTTGAACATTTCAGCAAGATGTGCAGACACGACATTCAGAGTCCTTAAGTTCAGTAACACTTCAGCCTCAAAATCCTCATCAGTGACTCTGGCTCTGTCTGGGATGAGAATCAGGCCTGAATAATCTCTCCACTGCTGCAGAGATGTTGCGGCTCCACAGCAGAAATGGATTTTTAGGTATAATAACATAATAATCCTCCTTTACTGTAAAATCGTTATAACACACAGTTCTAACACAGTTTTCACAATAAATGGTCTTAAACGCTGAAGTTAATGCATAACTGCTAATTCAACCTTTAATGCTGAAGACTGATGCGCAGACTGCTGGTCACACAGCAACAAAAAAGGCAAAGAGAGAGATTTAAGAGGAACATTGATAATTTGGAGATGAATGGACTTATTTGCATTGATAAGCACTCAGCTGGTTTCCTCATACGTTGAATCTGCAACATCTCGAGAAGCTGAAGTCAGCTTCTCATTCTCCAGCTTCTCGTTCGAATTCTCCCATTCCACCTTAAATGGCGCAGCAGTACAATCTGGCGCCTCAGGCACCATTTAAGGTGGAACGGGACAATTTGAACGAGAAGCAGGTGAATGAGAAGCGACTTCAGCCTCGTAAAAAGTCTAACATTTGAGAGACATTTTACAGGAAATTTGTGGAAAAGTTTCCTGACTGAGGAGCAAGAACAGCGGCTACAGCTGACCTAAAGGTTAAAGCAGAGCAAAGTAAGTCTGTGTTTTCGTTTATATTTTTTAGCCTATACTAACACATCAGCACATACTGACATATTTACAGCCAAGATGGTAATAAAATGTAGTGCCTCCCAAGGTGGACTGATTTTTGTTAAAAGGACACAATGGCTTTTCTTAACATTTGGGTTGCGACCCCTGAGCTAAGCCTGCTAGTAAGGGGTGATCATTTTTTTTTGTGACACAGAAAGTTGTCAATATTTTTGCCAAATTTATCATAAACATAAAAAGAGATCTTAGTAAACAGGCACTTCTTAGGATTAAATCTTAAATCTGTACATGAGAATTGGTTAAAAAAACTACCATTTTGTGAGATCGTTCTCATGGCTTATGGCTTCAGTAGTTGTAGGACAGCACTAAACACCAGGTTGGTCAGATGAAAAAACTTGGGAGGGAATGTTAAACTCAAATAAAAGCAGAAAGCAGTGATTTGTAAACCCACTTTGGCTTTTATTCAAATGAAAACCGTAGACAGACCAGATATCAAGTGCATTATTTTTCGATATACACATTCAGATTCAGTAAATACAAATTCAGAAAACATCTTAAACAGGTGATACAATCATGCTTCAGTATAAAAGGTCATCCAGGAATTGGTAACACTTTACAATGTGTTCACTTGCTAATATTAAGTAATGCACTTGTTAACATGAGGCACAAGATTAATAATGGTCAGCAAATAGTAAGTAAAGAAGTACCAACTGCATTAGTTAATGTTTTTTCACATTAGCTTTTGACTAGCCTTAACTAATGCAGTTGTTAACATTAAAAACCTGAGATGCTACATTAATAAGGGTTAACTAATATTTTGGGGGTTTAATTTCATTCTGTTGTGTTGGTTCAGCTCATGGCCTGCTTTTCTGCTCAAACTGCTCACTTTGGAGCTTTTAGTATTTAATTTTAGACAAAAAGAATCCAAAAAGAGAAAAATTGTGCATATTAACTGCAGATCCTCTGCTGATAGATGCTGACTAGTGGAAACTAGTCATGCCTTGGTAATGAATTAATGCAATTATTTGTTTACTCATTTACTTACATTAGCTAACCCTTAATAACTTCATATCTCAACACCTTTAATATGAAATAATATAATAGTTAATGTGAGTCAACTGCTATTGTAAAGAATAATCCAGAAAATCCATTGTTTGCCAACAAATGCTTCAGTGAATAATCCATCAGCAACACTAAATTCAGAATACAGGATTCTGCTATTTACAAACCTCAATTCCAAAAAAAATGTAAACAGTATATAAAATGCTAATAAAAACAAGACTCCACTAATGCTAATTAAAAACAAGACTCCACTAATGCTAATAAAAATGGGTTCCACTAAATATCAGCAAATTTTGAAACCAAATGTGATATCAGTCTAGAAAGTGACACTAGAAAGAGGCTGGCTTCTACAATAGGACAATGACCCACAACATAACTGAAAATCCATCATGAAGTACTTTAAAATACACAAGCTGAAGCTCTTGAAATGGCCCACACAGCACCTGACCTCAACATCATTTAAAATCTGTGGGTAGACCTTGAAAATTCTGTGCATGCAAGTCAGCCAAAGAATATCGAGGAAGAGTGGGTCAAAACAGCTGAGAGGGGCTTTTCCATATAAAAGCCCCCTACACCAAACTGGCCATAATGTCATTGGTGCCAAGCCAATTACCTTTCTGTGCTGCACTAAATCTTTCTGCAGGCCAGCAGCTTCACCTACTGTGAAGGTCTACTGTGATCAACTCTTCTGATGGGCATAGGTGAAAAAGACAGATCCTTCTTTGGCCTTGTAGTGGCCGTGCCAACCTTATGGTCTTTGGCGGCTCTATTTCTGTTAGAAAGAAGCTCTGGAGCTCAGAAAATTGCATGGAGCTGTAGGAGAGTCAACCTGGCAAGGACCCACTTTGACCTCAAGTTATAGCTCAGGCATTATTGCCTAAGAGGTGTGCAGAGGGCTGTAGATCAGTGGTCACCAATCCTAGTCCTGAAGATCTTCCTTCCTAAAAGTCTAGTTCCAACCACAATCAGCCACACCTGCTCCACTAATTAATATCCTCAGAAGTCGCTGGTTTGCTGGATCATATGCAGTAGTATTGCAGATTTGCATATAACTCATTTATAAAACTTAACCAAAATTTGCTGCTGTTTGTTAATATTTACCAAAACATTTGGAGGCTTTATATTTAGCATTAATTTTATTGGATTTTGGATTTTGTAACACAGTGCATTAGCAGTTATAAATTTTATTTTTGTAGATGTATTTTGCAAATACTTACATAATTCACAGGATAACATCTGAAACACTTCATTGTGAAGTAATAGCTTATTTAAGCAATAGAACATGAGAGGGAGTGTGTTATAACACCACAGCTGTGATTTGGTTAGAGACACGAGCCAAAGGCGAGTGCCGTAGATCATCACAGCCGTGATGTTATAGTGATAACACGCAACCTCTTGTGTTCTATTGCTTTTATACAACAGTTAAATAAATAAAGTAATAAATTAATAAACTGGGTCATGAACGCGGCGTTTAATATGTTTTAATGTTTGCAGTTCCTTCCACCAAATTATAGTTCCTTAACAAGCAGCTTGTTGCTACGTCAGAGTAACGAGCTCCGCTCACTCGCTGCACAGCCGGCAGTTCATTCTCCAGCTCCTTACACTAAATTCGCAAACTGTCATCACCACTGAGCAGCTTTCTTATTTTTTATTGCAGCAGTTTTATAGCTCAGTCCAATTTGGTCAGACTGTTTGTCACAGCTGCCGACTGAAAAGCTGCTCAGTGGTGATGACAGTTTGGGAGTGTAGTGAAATCTCATCTTCAGAGTCTGATCAAATCGGCTGTCGGTCCTAATGCGATCTTAAAAGTGTCCATTTTCTGTTTGTGTACAAAGTAAGAAGTACAAACTCGTCAAACTTAGCAGAGTGATACAGTGTTTGTGAAAAAAACGTTATGTTATGGTGAAATAACAGCACGGTTAGAATGCCTCTCAACCAATCAGCTTGCGTGGCCAGAACTAACTGTTGTATAAATGTCTGATATAAGCTAATGTCAGTATATTACTGATGTATAACTCTAACCTAAGAGATGTCTTATAAATTGAAAAAAAAAAACATTATTATAAGGGGTTACCTAAAACACTTACAAGGTACATTTCCAAGTCATTTTTATCATGTAAATACTTCTACATGTAATATGTTTTTGGCAGTGTGTTATGAAGAAAGTAAGTTCTAAATCTTCCAGCCCACACAAGCTTCAGTAATTCAACACCATAATAAAACACATTAATAACACTCCCAGCTGTGACAACACTGGCCTAAAATATAGTGAAAAACTGACTAGGCTACCAAAGAGGCAAAGAGAACAAGAAGCATTTCAAAAGCCATTTTGCTGCTGCTCATCGGTCGAGGGCTTTTCAATATTAGGTCACTCCTTATTCGTTGAGCTGGTTACTGACAGACATCTTGTGTAGAGTGTAGGTCAACGCAAAACTGGAAGATGTCAACCTGATAGAGATAGATCAAAAAGGAAAACAAGTAATGTAGTATAATGCTTAAAAACTGCATTTCAGCTAAAAAAGGAATGTGTTGTAGGAGCAAATGCTTTGAATTCTGCGCCACGCTTTTAAATGTAAATGTGAACTATGATGTATTTTTGATTTTTACTATAATATTATGATTCAATCAATCAGTGTGCTCTACCATTTCCAGCACCAGTCGAGTTTAGGTTGATGACAGATGAGCCATAGAAGTTGTTGCTGGTGAGGGCAGGAGTGATAGCAGTGCTGCCATGTTCAGCTCTCACAACAGCAGAGCAGTTAGCAGGAGTGACAGGACTCTGAACCAGATCTGTCTGCACTGAAAAGGGATCACATCATTTTATCCAGTGCTATTAGACAGAGAGAAAGAGTGAGCTGTGGGTGAAGAAATGACCAGTAATTAAAGCTCAGTGGTTTCTACATGTATTACCATGATGAGCCTACTGATGGTTAACCTGACAGCTCAGTGTCATGACATTTGTAATTGTCATAAAAGGTGAAGTGTCTCACACGCACACACACACACATCTTCTACGCTGCTTATCCTTCGGGGTTAGGTGAGGGGCAGGGTATTGGAGCCTATCCCAGCGGTCATTAGGTGGAAGGCAGGAAACACCCTGGACAGGTTGCCAGTCCATCACAGGACAGACAGACAGGCAGACATATACATACACACACACTCACACCTAGGAGCAATTTATATTATTATTATTATTATTATTATTATTATTATATAGTGACTTTCCAAATTACTAGTTTCTAATTACTGGCTTTATCATCCTTGACTGTAGAATGCTGACAAAATTTAAAAATAAGAGTTCCTTTCCTTTAACACTTTTCAGGGAAAACTACAGCTACATGGAAATAGCCTCCTATTCATACTCATACAATTATTGTCATTTATTTCAATACTTGCAATGATTTTTAAGATTAAAAAAACAGTGATGGTAACCTCAAAAAACCAAAATGTTCCTTACATGTCCTTTCATCCAATGAAGGGAGTGTTTTCTGAAAATCTAAGAAAGACAAGAGAAAACAATAATAATTGAGCCTAGGTGTATCCTCAGCTTAACACTTATGACACTCATAAAGGATACAATAGTGTAATTTTTTGGTATTTTGATCAGTTATAATTATAAAGTATTTACATTAGACAGTCATACATACCATATGTTGTGATTTTCAGGGGACCCTGAGCTACTCAGATGCCATTATTTGACATGTGTTATCTGGTCTTATCAGAGTTTTTTCAGATCTATTAAACTGCTTCATTGGGTCAAGGCTCATCAGAGAGGAAGCATCTCAAGGCATGAGTCACACTTGCTCATTATATTTCATTAATCTATTAATAATTTTGTTTATCAGGCAGCACAGAAAATCTATGTGTCACTGGTGTTTTGTGCTTTAATGGCTGGGTAATTAAAATGTTGTTATAATAATGCCACATATATCATTTTTATTACTGATTTTAAATAGTTGCACAAGGTCACCTGATGGCCGATGAGTCAGCCAATTGAACATTAACTATGACGCTGAACATTAATGAGACGCTGAGCTACTCAGATGTCATTATTTGACATGTAAATGCTAATAGAATTTTGATGTCTTCATGCAGCCCATTGGGATAAAACCCTGAACATTTTTTTCAACAGGCCCAGATCCTCTTTTGTGATTAAAAAATAATCGTCCTTATATATCCTATATATATAACAGCTGGTACTATTTGGGTGCTGGATCATTCTCAGCACTGTAGTAACACTGATGTGGTGGTGGTGTGTTAGTGTGTGTTGCACTGGTACAAATGAATCAGACACAGCAGTGCTGCTGCACAGTAAGCTACCTACATATTTTGCTGCACCAACGAGAGCCGAACAAAATAAAAATTGACTAATTACTCATGGTTAGAAGTCAAATATTACATGATGTATTTTACACTGAATACATGAAATCACTTTCTTCAGAAGCTGCAAAGTAATACACATTTAACATCTCACTAATTGACTCACCTTTAAGAGATGGCAAATCATATTCCCAGACTTTTGTTTTTGCACTGTCCTTTATTAGTTGTAACTTTATATTCATTGTGTTTTCTTCTAAGCGTATCACAAATGTTGGATTGTCAGTGTTTTTATTTCTCAGGAAAAGACCGTCCTTTAAAGGGGATAAAAGGCATGCACACATTTAGTAACCCAGTTTGATCTAATAGTTCTTCTTTAGCAAATTCTGTATTTAACCTTGTTTGTGTTTTATCAGTACTCACACTGGCTTGTACTCTTTGTTGCCTGTGTGGATTTTCTATATCTTTACATGAGATGTTGTATCGATGGGCATGTATAAGGTCACAGTCACATGGTCCTGGTATGCGTTGGCCGCCGTCTTCACACAGCTAAAAGACATTAAATTACAATTAAAAAAAATTAAAACAGTTAGTTCAGCAGCCATCACTTTTTTTTTTACATTTTTGAAACATTTTGAACAGTATAATATAGACATTATGAAGCTCTTGGAATTGGCTGAAATAAAATGGGATAAATCTTAAATTTATTTATTCAAACATTTTTTTTTTTGTGTGTAAATTTGTTTATTCAAATATTTTTTAAAAACTTTACCTTTTTAGGGTCCACATTCCAAGGGTGTAAAAATACATGCAGCCAATGTTTTGGTCGTGGGTGATACATCACTATTACCTGTCCTCTGATCTTGCTCTTAAACAGATTCCATATGTCTTTAAGTCGAAACCGTGAATTTCCTTGAACAGTCACTTTCACGTGTGTATGTGACATATACTCAGGTGTCAGGACCTCCTCACTGTCATCGGTGTAATGTCCCACAGTCATGAAGTTACAGTCATCTTCTAGAAATTAGTAAAGAGAACAAGAATTCGAGTACAACTATCCCCCAAACCCCTCACTATCCCCCCTCATACACTGCTGGCAATTAAACCTGCAACACTAAGAAAGACATGAGATATCAAAGCAATACTTATTTGGCAGATTGCTTATGATACATTGTATGCATGATTAGAAATACAGTTTGGTCATGCTTGCAGAATACACAATAATCAGTATCTGGTGTATCTACCACAGGCAGAAATAACCACTTCACACTGCTTAGCATGGAGAGGATGCTTTTAAAAGGGTGCTCTGAACCTACTCTTTGCACTCGCCTTTTATGCCAGGTCTGGGGCGTAATTTGCATGTGTGCTGTGCTTGTAATCGTTTTCACACTCTTGACCTACCTATTCTGAGAATAGAATAGATAGGTGTTACTAACTACTGAGTTTCCAAATCTTTATACCTGCCACAATTACTAATTTTTTAAATAAAATACTATTTTATTATTTTTTACATTTTGAAGTAACAAATATAAAGGAACTGTACATCCACATTTGCAGATAAAATTGTTTGCTGCAGAGGCTGTGTTTACTTCTTTTCTTTCCCAGACTGTTTCACACAACCATATCTATGTGTAAGAATCCATTGGTGCACTTAGATCAGTGGTGTCAAACTCAACCTCTAAAAAGGCCATATTAAAAAATCTCAGCATATCCGTGGGCCAGCTCAAAATTTGCTAAAACTGCAACAGCAAAATAGGCATTGAATACTTAAAAAAAAAATTCTAAATATAAATAAACTGTTTTAGGTAGTTTTTTTAAAACTGCCAATCTGCTTGAACTAGACACCAGGCATTTTTTCCTTTTGTGTAACCGTTGGCCCATAGATTGTTGTTGGGGGTCAGAACACACACAATGTTGCAGTGCATGCTGGGAATTGTAGTGCATCTCGGGGTGAAACAGGCTAGTAAGAATAGAAAATTATAATAATTTTGTGGGCCGAATAGGACTACGTCATGGGCCTGCCTTGGTCCGTGAGCCTTGTGTTTAAATCATGGAACAGACCCCAGGAACCAGCAAACTGTGTCGGGGCAAGAATTACTTGAACTTCAAGAGCCCAAAGTCCAACCAAAAAGTACCAGTAGGACGAACTTGGTCTGCTGAGTCACAGTCTGTCACTGCCCATAAGACCCACAAGGGATTAAGATATGATGTTGTATGGCTGACATGGAAGTTGGGACTGTTCGTATGAGTGAAAGGGATTATTGTATGGTAGCTTGGTGGTCACTTATGACTGGTCTTTCTGTAAGGAGACAAGGGAAACTGAACCGCTAGACCTCACCAATATGCATGAGTAACAGAAATACTGAAAATGTTTCTTGTTTCTTATGAATGCCATAACTTAACAGAAATTATCTATCAAAATAATATAATTATAATAGATGGATTATTAGGAATAACAATATTCTTATGTTTAATACTAAAAGCTTTTAAATGAAATAGAAATACGGATAGAGGACTTGCTCAAGTCAGTTTTAGCAACACTTTTTACCTCTGCCTTAACTCAAGCACAGGATTTGTGTACATTGTCTGCCACTGCCAAAAACTACAAATAAGCTGTTTGTGATTTGAATTGCGGTCTGAATGTATATTTGGCTTGTTCATAAACAGCCGTGCCGCATGTAACACCAACGGCAGCAGGCTGAAGCAGCACTGTGCATATGCAACTCTGCCAGTATTATTCCTGCTTCCTTTTGATGTATTTGATGCTTTACTTTAACCATCTTAAGGCCATTTGTGTTACAACTGTACGTTTTCATAAGTGAAAAAGTTTTTGTTAAAGTGTGGGAACCATTAGGCTGCATCTTAAAGAGGCTATTATGCAATAATGATAATGTCGTGTGCAACTCCCAACTTGTCCACTGGAGGTTGCACTAGCAGCGGCTCAATCACACACACCTGTGTCCTACCCTCATTAGCTTTCCTACAAAACTCTCTCTCAATTCATTCTTCCCACTGTTAGTGTCTCACTGCAATCCTGAGCCTTTTTTCCCATGAATCATTTGACTTTGCTTTTTTTTTTGTTTGTCTGCTTTTGGCTTCTCTTTATGATATTGGACTTTGTTTTGCCTCTGCCCCTGACTCTGCTTTTGGACTATGCTTTCACTACTGTTGCATGTTTCTAATAAAACCAGCTTATGGATTCTACAAACTTGCCTGGCTATGCATTGTTGCAGATAATTGCTATATACTTTAAAATAAGGGGAAAATACAGAAGTGACAACACTTGAGTATCTAAGCTAAATTTAATTAATAATGGTTAAATATGCCTTATTTATTTAAACTCACCTGGGGATATCTCACAGTGAGGGAGCTGGAGCTGAGAGAGCTCACCCTGAACACATTTGATGTCATAGAGAGGACCGGCTGCGTAATAATTGGTGGAGACTGGGCAGCTGCTGTCTAGGTCTACAGTAGTGTACAATACTTCACCTTCTCCATCCATTCTGAACCTAAGATTGGTTGCTGTACAATGGAACCAACCAGCATGGCTGCATTGAAACCTGTTGATGAAATTGTTAGTAGAAATGTTTATTAGTAGCATCAAATAAAGTAAATTTTATGTGCTTCCAATCATTTCTTTGTAAATATACAATTCGGTAACAAATGTCTACATTTCAGTTTAATGTTAATTTCAGAGGCATTCTGTAATATGAATCAGATTATCATTACCATTCTTAAATTTGGATCAGCCCTACTTTTGCTGAAGCAAACATCCATTCATACATTACCTGTACCCTGATTTCCCCATTTCAGTTGTCATTTCTGGAATGAAAAAGTCACCTTTCTCACTTTCTGACTCCTGTGAACATTAAAACATTATTTTATTAGGCTTTAACTTGAAATGAGCCGCATTTAAAGTCATGTAGACATATGAAATTTAGTATACCAAATATTAGTGTCCTAACATGGATAGTAACCTACTTTAACCATCTTCATAGAGGACACAGTCGCTGGGATTATGAAGTGCATGTTGTTATTTTTTGATATCATTTTCATAATCCTGTCTGAGAGCTCCATGGTTTGAGTAATCTCAGGGCCAGTTCCAGCAATGTAGTATCTGTGTTTACATTTTTCTAGGAGCCACTGCAACACTTCTCCTCTTATGCAGGTATCTTTATTTGTGAACAGCACAATGACGTGCTTCCAGAAACTTTCTCCAAAAATCTTCAAATCCTGTAGAACCTTTCTGGTCTCCTCAGTGAAATCTTCCTCATGAAGAAAGGCAAGGACAATTGCATGGGATCCAGGGATAAGAACTGATTTTTCCCTTGTGAGAATTTTCTTGGCATTGCAGAGGGCAGTTTCAACCACGCATGCAGATTTCTTAGCTATCTTTCCTTTTAGAAGGACTGGTCTTCCACTACCCAGAGCTTCCACATCAGTAACACTGTTGCCTAGGATTAGATTTGTAGCAGACTTTTCAGCTCCCTTCAATCCCAAAATCCAAACTCTCAACTTTGTAAACAGAGGAATTTCTCCTTAAAGAAAAAAGACATTGAATGTTAATTTTTTTCTAGGTATAAACTAAATAGATTTAAATAAACAGATACTAGAAAAAGCATGTTAAAGGGGATTTTGTACCACCTTTGCCATCTAATGGCACAATAAGGTCAAGCACATAATATGGGGAATATCTACAATAGTTTGATTCTGTCCTTCTTCTCATGGACTGGATAACATGCACAGGTTGTAGCCATACTTACCAATTCCAAAACCTTTAGACAAGGCTCTCTCATAGCACTCTTCTGCCTTGAATTTTTCACCCCTCAGTTCATGAAGGAATCCTTGTATGGTACATGCCTTGCTGTCATCTGGATCCTTAGAAAATCGACGAATGGCAATTTGTCTGAGTTTTGTTTCATATTTCTTGTATTCGATGTCTTGTTTAACTACCTGCAGCCGTAGATCCTCCATGTAATGGTAAATTGCAAGGTCTTCAGATCCTTTGCTGTACAACTGAAATTGGCCATACATGGCATGAACCAGCTCTAGATGTTCTTTTTGTTCATGAGCAAGTTGAAATGCCCTCTGAAAATACTCCTCAGCTTTAGGAATATCTATTTGTCCATAATGCACTGCCAATTCTGCCAAGGCAGCAATGAATAAGGGCTTCAGTGAAACTGCCTTTTCCAGATGGTATATGCACTTGTGAAGACAATCCTGTGTTTCAAAGTGGTCAACTTTATGACATGGTCCATGTACCTTTTCTAAGGCTATTTTTTTAGATTTGTAGCACAGTGCTAACTGATGGTGTATGAAAGCTGAGTTGGGAGTGTGCTTTAGTGCTTTCTCCAGCTGACAAATGGCAAAGTCAGTAGATCCCAGCTTGCGACTTAATTGAGCCACGTATCGCATTACATGCGGGTTTTCAGGCGACATCTTAAGTGCCCTTATCATCAAACCGACTGCTTCTTCAGAATGCTCTTTGGGATCAAGTATTTTAGTGTCAGTCAGTCTTATGGCCAAGAGCACAAGGAGCACAGCATCTTTTGGATTCAAGTCGATGGCTCGCCTGAGTTGTATAAGGGTTGGTGAGTCCCATGAACCTGGAGGATCAGTTGTTGTGCGATACAAAGCAATGGCATAACCAGTGCTTAAGTCACTGTCTTTTGGATTCATTTCGAGAGCCTGTCTGAAGCATTCTCTAGCTCCATTGTAATATTTTCTTGAAAACTTAAGGAAGGCCCATCCTTTTTCCCTGAGAACCTCACTATGGACTTCATTACTGGATTCGTTAGAGAATTTCATACTAATCCTCTCCACAAGACTCGAATAATCTTCAGCCAAAGTGAAATTTCCCATGTGATAGTACAACCAGGCAAAATCCCCATAGGTAACTGTGAGAAATTTTTCGCTGTCCTCTCCATAGTATTTTTTTGCAAGTTCCTCAGACTGGCAAAGATTGGAGAGTGCTGCTTGCAGATCACCATAGAGATAACAAACAAATGCCAGTGAGCTGTAAGCACGAGTCACCCTTGCTTCTCCAGATTCCAATTCAATCTGCTCTTGTAAGCGGTTCACCAAGTCATGGAGATTAAAGTCCTCTTCTCTCAGAGCCCAGGTAAAATGACATTCCAGTTGAAGCAGTCTGGTCTTAAAGGCATCCATTAGGCTGTAAGTTAAAAAGGATATAACAATGCAAAATGATTTCAAATTGCATTGATATACTAAAACGCTACATACAAGCCCATTTCCAAAAAAGTTGGAACACTGTGCAGAATGTAAATAAAAATAGAATGCAATGATTTGCAAATCATGTGAACCATATTTTTAAAGGAAAATACTACAAAGACAACATATCAAATGTTGAAACTAAGAAATTTTAGTTGTGTTTTGAAAAATATATGCACATTTTGAATTTGATGCCAACAACATGTTCCAAAAAAGTTGGGACAGGAGCATGTTTACACACTGTGTTTTAACAACATTTTCTAAGCATTTTGGAACTGAGGAGATCAATTGCTGTAGTTTTGAAAGTGAAATGTTTTCCCATTCTTGTTTGATATAGGACTTCAGCTTCTCAACAGTTTGGGGTTTTCCTTTGTTGTATTTTTCATTTCATAATGTGCCAAATGTTATCAGCGGTGACAGGTCTGGAATACAGGCAAACCAGTTTAGCACCCAGCCTCTTTTATTATGGAGCAATGCTGTTGTAATACATGCAGAATGTCATTGTCTTGCTGAAATAAGCAAGGCCTTCCCTGAAAAAGATGCCAACTGGATGGCAGCAGATGTTGATAAAACATGTATATATTGATCAGCATTAATGGTGCTTTCACAGATGTGCAAGTCATCCATGTCATGTGCACTAATGCACCCCTATACCATCATGAACACTGGCTTTTGAACTGTGCACTGATAACAAGCTGAGTGGACACAAGAAAGAATTTCAAGTATTGATTTGTTGGACCACAGGACACTTTTCCACTTCCCCTCAGTCCATTTTAAATGAGCTCGGGCCCAGAGAAGGTGGCGGTGTTTCTGGATCCTGCTTATATATGGTTTCTTCTTTGCGTTTAAGAGTTTTAACTTGCATTTGTTTATGCCGCAACAAACTGTTTTCACAGACAGCGGTTTTCAGAAGTGTTTCTGAGCGCATGCAGTGATTTCCACTACAGAATCATGCCTGTTTTTAATAAGTGCTGCCTGAGGGCCCAAAGATCATGGCCAGCAAATACTGGTTTTTGGCCTTGTACCTTGCATACAGAGATTTCTCCAAATTCTCTGAATCTTTTAGTGTTAATATGTATTGTAGATGATGAAAAGCAAAAGTTCTTTGCTTAGTTTTACGTTGAGACATGTTATTCTTGAATTGTTGCAGTACTTGATTGTGCAGTCTTTCACAGAGTGGTGAACCCCTCCTCATCTTTACTTCTGAAAGACTCAACACAGACTCAACTACACAATCATGTTGCTGAGCTGTCAACCACCACATGTTTTTTTAAGCATTACACAACTTTACCAGCCTTTTGTTGCCCCCGTCCCAACTTTTTTGGAATGTGTTGCTGGCCTCAATTCCTCAATGGGCATATATTAAAAAAAAAACAATAACATTTCTCAGTTTCAACATTTGATGTGTTGTTTTGTACTATTTACAAATAAATATAGAGCTTAAATGATTTGCACATCATTGAATTTAGTTTTTTATTTACATTTTGCACAGCATCTGTCTGACAATGTGAAGCAAAATAGAAGGTCTCAAAAAGCAGCACATGGTGCCACATTCTAAAAAGATACAAATACAAATGTGAAACAAAGTCATTGAAATCTACCAGTCAGAAAGTGTTACAAAGCCATTGGTAAGGCTCTGGGACTCCAGCAGTGGTGGATGAAGTACACAAACCATGTACTTGAGTTAAAGTAGAGATGCCCAAGGTAAAACCTTACTCTAGTAAAAGAAGTCCTCCCTTTAGACCTTCACTTGAGTAAAAGTACAAAAGTATTTGCCTTCAAATGTACTTATCGAAAGTGAAAGTACTAAAAGATTAATTATGGCTCTAATGTACTATTATCATTTGCTTTATCAACTCATGAAATGAGAACTCAAGAAAATACTCTAGTGTCACTCTTGGTACACCAAGATTTGAATAGAATGTCATTAATTAGTTTGACGCTGATGTCTATTAAAACTATCAAAAGCACAAAACACTGAAGGCAAACAATTTCCATTAGGTAGAACCAAGTGGCTATGAAATAACCTTTTGTGAACAAGCAAAGTTTCAGTTTAAGATTTATTTGCAACTTAGTTTAAATAAAAAATAGTTTAAATTTAAACAAGTTTAATAAAAACTTGCTTGAAACACAGGTTCACAAATAGGTTTTTCTTTACTATATTGCATGTCTAGGTCTCTGTTCATAAACATAAACTAGCAAAAACTAATTTACTATAAAATGAAAGTGTTTGTCTAAAGGGGTTCCCCAAAAAGCTGGTATGGTCTCCACAAGCTGACATTATCTTTGAGAAACTTAGGGAAGCATTCACTTCCGCACCAGTGCTATAACACCCAGATCCCTTGTGGTAGAAGTGGGTGCTTCTGAGACAGGTGTAGGGGCAGTTTTTTTCCCAACGTTCTGATAATCCTTCTAAATTGCATCCTATTGCATTTTATTTTAACGAACTCATTCATGCAGAACATAATTACTGGATTGGAGATCATGAACTCCTAGCAGTTAAGCTGGCTCTCAAGGAGAGAGACATTGGTTAGAGGGTGTTAACCACCCCTTTGTTGTACTTACTGACCACAAGAATTTAGAGTTCTTAAGAACAACTAAACACCTTAAACCAAGACAAGCACATTGGTCACTATTCTTCTCTCGATTCAATTTTAGTATTTCTTTTCGTCTAGGATCTCGTAACACAAAAGCAGATGCATTGTCGAGAGTTTATCAAGAGCAGGAAAAAGGAAAGAAAAGTCTTGAACCAGAAAATATCCTTCCGCTGCAAGGCAATATTTCTTCCATTCATTGGGAGCTCAATGAGGAGACTGAGGAGATTTAAACATACCCAGTCAGTGTACCTCAGATAAAACGTATGTCCCCAAGTGATTTTGGGATAGTTTTCTAACCCAGGCTCATTCCTCACTCACCTTAGGTGATCCAGATGAAACACAAACCCAACAACACATCAGTAACCATTTGTAGCTTCATGCTCTACTTGTTCCCAATGTAAGACATTACCTGCAGGGAAACTTATGCTGTTACCTGTACCTGCTAGGCTTAGGTCTCATATAGCCATAGACTTTGTCACAGGGTTTTACTACTGTTCGATTTTCTCGTTATGTCCGCTTCGTTCTATTTGCTTCATTACATACCGCTTTCCAAACAGCTGAAACACTTGTAAACCAAGTCTACCCACAGTCTAATGGTCAATGTGAACAAATGAATCAAGAACTAGGAAAATGTCTACGTATTGGCCATAATAAGCCCTCTGATTCTGATTCCTTTCCTGATGGGGGCAGAAATGGCTCGAAACTCTTTGATAAGTTTGGCTACTGGTATTACCCCTTTTCAGTGTGTTCTAGGATTTCAAACACCGGTAGCTTCTTGGACTGGAATCACATTTGACATTCCGGCTGTGTGCAGAGGGAGGTAGAAAGCTCCACCCAAAATACATTGGCCTGTTTAAGATACAGAAAAAGATTCATGATGTTACTTCTAAACTTGATCTGCCTCTTCATTATCGGGTCTCCAATTCTTTTCATGTCTCCCTTCTCAAACCTGTGGTTCCAGGTCCATTGGATGAGGTTACGCCTTGATGGCATGCCACCCACACTGGTGGAAGAAGTCTAAGCTGTCTTACGGTTGCTAGACTCCCAGAGAATAGGAGCGGAATTCCAATATTTGGTCGACTGGGAGGGATACTGTCCAGAGGAGCAATGCTGTGTTCGAGATGTCCTGAATCTGAGTTTGATCGTAAAGTTCCACTGTCTGAATCCAAACAAACCTTCTTGTTATGTTTGTCCCTTTTTGTTTTTGGATCATTCTGGATTTGACCTTTGCCTGTTTCATGACCACAAGTACTGATCACATCCAAAACAGTAAATCCTGATTTTACCTGTGAGCGTCTGGCCAGTTCTGTCTCAACATTTAATTGTTTTTTGAAAAATATATGCCCATTTTTAATTTGATGCAAGCAAGCAACACATTTCAAAAAAGTTGAGACAGGGCAACAAAACACTCTTTAAGTTGTGAAATGCCAAAAAAAATACCCGGCGCGTAATTTTCAACAAGTCAATTACATGTTTGGTTGTAAAAAGAGCATCTCAGAGAGCCTTTCAGAAGTAAAGATGGGAGAGGTTCACCACTCTATAAAAGACTACATGAGCAAATAGTGCCAGAGTTCAAGAACAATGTTTCTCAACATAAAATAGCAAAGAATTTGGGGATTTCATCATCTATGGTACAAAATAAGATTCAGAGAATCCTGAGAAATCTCTGTATGCAAGGGACAAGGCCAAAAACCAATATTGCCTGGACATGATCTTTGGGCCCACAAAACCATTGTTTTTGTTTGTTTGTTAGCAGGGTGAACACTGGGTTGGGTTTTTTTCCCTTTCTTTTTTGCTTTGATTTGTGTTTGTGACTCGGATATAGTGTAGTGTGATTTTGTGGTGGATTGCTGTGCAGGGTGCTCTGCATGTGGTTTGAGCATGATTTGTGTGTTATTAGGTGTATTTTGTGACTGATTAACTCCCAACCAAATGATTTAGCCAACCAAATCGGACTTTGCACTAGTGACAGACGAATCAGCAGAGAGAGAGAGGCGACGAAGGTGGAGTCTTTTATTTTAAAAGGTGACCCCGGAGAGTGTGACTGTTGGGGAGCGATTGCTGGCAGCAGTTCCTAGAGCACGAAGCAGCGAGAAGAGCAGGAAGCGGGTGGCTATAAGATTTGTGGCATGGAGAGTATGTGAATGAAGTTGAGAGCTGCCACATGCAACGGAGAGGCCTAGTTGCAACGTGAGACAGAGAGAAAGCAGTTGAACAATGAAGAAAAGTGAAGAAAAGACGATGAGCCATTTCTTTATTTATTAAGCCGCTGCTGTTTTGATGTGAATTATGTTTTAGTTGTTGAGAACTTTGCTTCCTACTAAGGCTTGGTGAAGTTAGAAGCTGGGGCTGAGTCGTGATTTAAAGAATTACTTACTGCCAGTTTGTTTTCTTTGTTTTTGGGCAGGTGCTTGCACCCATGCTGTGAACCATGAAGGACTGATTGTAACTGCTCCCTGCAACGTCCAGGCTGCTCCCGGGACTTTTAGGCTACTTTTTATGTTCCTACAATTGTTTGTTGCTTTGAGTATTCTTCTTTGATTCTTTTTAATGATCTAAATGTATTAAGAAGGGTAAAAAATCTTTCGAATCAGCCTCTGCCTCCTGTCATGTAACTGGACCAAAACTGTTTCCTCCCAGTTGAACTTGTATTTTTATTTTTATATTGGGTTTAGTTGATGGTGTAAGAAACCTTCTTTTTGGGAGTTATGACAGTCTATCAGTTGGTTACTCTTTTATCATTGATTGAAGTTCAGCTTCATTTTATTTATTTAGAATATAAAAAATTATCTCCCTTCTTTTATTTCTTTACAATCGTCTTTTTAATTTACTACCACCGCCAGCCTCCTCCTCCCCTAACAAGTTCTTCACTGCATCCACAAATGCAAGTTAAAACTCTACCATGCAAAGAAGAAATCATATATAAACAGAATACAGAAATGCTGCTGCCTTCTCTGGGCCCAAGCTAATTTAAGATGGACTGAGGTGAAGTGGAAAAGTGTCCTGTGGTCTGACAAATTTTGAAGTTTTTTTTGGAAATTATGGACACTGTGTCCTCCGGGCTAAAGACCACACAGCTTGTTATCAGTGCACAGTCCAAAACCCAGCATTCATGGGGGGCCCATGAGTGCACATGGCATGGGTGACTTGCACATCTGTGAAGGCACCACTAATGCTGAATGCTATGTATAGGTTTTGGAGCAACATATGCTGCCAAGCAGACAATGTCTTTTTCAGGGAAAAAGCAAGAGAATGTCAAACCACATTCTTCATGTATTACAACAGCATGGATCTGTCCAGACCTGTCACCCATTGAAAACATTTGCTGCATTATGAAATGAAAAACATGACAAAGGACATCCAAAATGGTTGAGCAGCTGAAATCCTATATCAGGCAAGAATAGGAAAACATCTTTTTAACCCCTTGAAATCCCAGTGTTATTACATACTAAGCAAAAAGTCATGTTAATGTTACCATAATGTTGAAAATAAATGAAAAGAGGCCATTTATATGTTGCAATGTGTATTATGTTATGTTCTTATGGCTAATAAATACAGTATATTTGTACATATAAAGGTAAACCAAAACAACAGAAATGTCTTTCATTCAAGTAAAGACACATTCCCCAGCAGAACAGGTATAACAGGTTACTTTAACTTCTACGCTGTAACTTGTTATTTCACATGAAGCCAACTGCACCCTATTTATTAGCTTCCCTGACACTCCAATACTCAATACAAGTGAGAAGAATTACGTTGAGTTTGGAGTAAAGCATAATTGCAGAGAAAGCATTGATTATTCACACTTGGTCCATCTGAGTCATCCAGTCTTGTCATTATAATAAGTTAATAATTATTTAAGACACGTAAACTATTTGTAGTTTTAAAATGACTTCTTATGAATTATTTCTACAGCTCCTAGTCTACAGTGATGTCACGGTGTCCTGTTCCTGGCTCCACCTTATCATTAGTGTTGCCACCTGTGTGTAGTTTGTTACTCTCCTTTCCCAGGTGTTTTCTATTTTTGTTTTTGGTAAAAGAAGCACTCATGTTTCAGTTTGCTTTTGTTTGGCATCCTTTGCTTTATGTTTTGTTTGCAGCATTTGTTGTTTGTCGTAAGTTCAGCAAAACCGATTGACTCATGTGTTTATTGAAGGTGTTTATGGATTAATATCTCCTATTCGAGTGTATAGGAGTGCTTATTAAGTTTTTTATAGACTGTAGTCTCCTTTTGTAGTCTAAAGAAGTAAATGACTTGCACGCAAATATTTCTATAAACGGACTTGTTTTCACTTTGGGTTATAGGCTACAAAAAATGTATAGATTGTTTATATATAACTTATACATCATATGTAAAAAAAAGACCAAGAAAGTCACTCCTGTTTATTAATGTTTACCAAATCATTTGAAGGTCTAACATTTTTAGAATTATTTTATTTGGAGTTTACAAAAGCTATTTTTTAACACATTGTATCAGCAGCCAAGATAATTACACAAATAGTGAATAACATCTGATTTCTGACTGATTCATCATTACTTAATTAATTATAAAGTTACCTAAAAATTGATCTATATTAACATACGTAGTTTGTTACTTTAGAAACTAATAAATAATATCTTGGATAGTTAAATATGAAGTAGAAGCTCATTGCATTAATGATGAATAACTTGGTATTAGCCAAAACATTTAGTTACAAAGTACTGAAGCAAACATTGTGGATTCATTTTATGCATGTAAATAGCATATAAATATGCTATATTGTGAAGTATTTTGATGACAAAGATACAACCCATGGTTCAGTATTTTACTTTTACACTGCACTTAGTTTCTATCTGTTACAGCTTCTTTCAAAGTTCTTCTAAATTGTACATGCAATACAATAAAGCATTTTTTTCTAATAAAAGAAAAAAAAACAACTCCCAATCGCAACTGTATATTTTCAAACTTTTTTAAATATCAAATTAGCATAAATAAATCATATTTGACTAGAGTATTAAACCAACTACAGCATATCATGTTTCCTTACACTATTCAAAGCTGTAATTGTGTGCATTATAGTACATTAGTACATTAACCCTTCAGGAATTCAAGGAACTATTATCAAAAGTGAAAGCACCCAAAATGTAAAATGAACTACTGAAGAGCTTTACAAATGTCATTCAGAGGTTCATTTTACATGTAGTATATTTATCTAAATAGCATTTAAGTGGAATCTTACCTTATTTTTGAATTTATTTTCTGCAATATACATGCAAAACTGGAACACAGATCAGCATAATTAATGTTGTGGCTGAGACCAAGTTAAGAATATGACACTGTAGCCCCACCACACCGACTATACGAGAGAAAACAGGTCTAGCAACCTCTGTATACTAATCCTTAGGTACAGCATGAATAAGCATTACCCACTGTATTGGGAGGAGTAAGTTAAATGCAGCTGTATCATAAGTAATTCAAAATATACCCCCACTGATTCACATAGCCTGATCAAAAGTCTATTCACAGTAATAAGTTGCAAGGAAGAGAAAGAATTCCAAATAAAAGTCAGGCATTTATGGTGTGTGTGGGGGCTGGAGAAGCAATTATTAAAAAAAAAAATACAGTGAATACAGTACAATTGTGATTACCTAGAAGTTTATAGTCAGTATCTATAGGCAATATACAATCTGAAGAATTGATATTTAGCCAGATTCTAGCCAGACTCTGCATGTACTGTTTCCTGATTATGCTAGCAGTTGTACTTTTAGTGAACTGATTTGTTTATGTAGGGTGGGTAAATCCAGATTATAAGCATAACACAGTTAATGAAAAGTAAAATTAATCAACAAATGCAAACTCACACCTTCTTCTCCAACACATGGGTCAGATAGCCTCTACTCTGACTAATTACCTCACCTGCCATTTCAAGAAATCTCTTTGGTAAGATGCCCCTTCACGGAATGAAATGAAAATGTTTAACATAATAATCAAACCTGATGATTAAAAAAATATCATTAATAAAAGGTATATACATAGGACATTAGAAAGTATACATAAGACAGCAAAGCCCCTGAGACCTTTCTGTGTTTTGGAAAAAAATACCAGCAGAGGCTGGTTTTTAAAGCAGCAGAGGCCTTCAAGTGAACCCTTTGAAGCTGAGGCATTCTCCAACTGACCCCAGCGTCTGAAGTCTTCTTTGAAAATTTGAGATAGAATATTTACTTCTAGTGTAAGTAATAGAATGACTTACACTAGAAGACTAGAGCTAAATGCTGCTTCTCTGGCACAAACCAGCTTGCCTGTACCACACACTGCTTACAGTCAGCAGTGAACTCAGTGCATCTTTACATGTTGACATAGATTAAGAATTTTAATTTGATGAAAAAATGAGTGCATATTACATAAAAGCCAAATGTATGAGGCATGCCAGTTACACCCTAATGTCTTTATCTCATGGTATGTGAGTTTGGCCAGCTGGCCTATTTTATGGCGGGTGAATGCTGGAAGGCTTTTGGACCTCTCCTTGTAGCTTGTTACCATGGTTACAAAAAAAAGCACCACCATATAGATTGGGCTGTTTCACTAAAAGTGAGATCAGTAACTGTTTGTGTGAAGCACAATATTTACGTCACCTGTAATTTATCATTCTACTAAGTGCAGCCTTTTGTGTTTGGTGTGTGTTAATTTAAATTCTTGTTAAAAAGCCTTGTGGAAAAGATTCTCTTTCTTCATTCGTCTTATTAAAGACAAGTAATCCAAAAGTAACAGAAAGTAATCAGATTACATTACTTTATTATTGTAACCCTTTGGATTAGGTTACAGTTACATTTTTTAACAGATAATCAGTGATCAATGGAATACATTTTAAAGTAACCCTTCCAACACTGTAACCGACACACTTTTCATGAAATGCATAGCACACATAACATTTAATGTAGTAAGCCACCCTACAATTGTACAGTGACAGCATGTCCATCCAGTTTCATTTCTCATTGGAAACCACATCTAGCAAACTCACAAAGCGTTGGACTGTAAATGCTCTTTATAAAATAAGGACTGCCCACAAACTGCCAAACACCCAAAAATGTTTGCCCCACCTAGTCACAAAAACAGGAAATTCTGGTCTCACCATTCTTTTCGTATGTTGTTCTTGAAGTAGGCTATGTTTTTGCTTTCTAGTGACAATGCATTTGAAAACTGACTTCTCAGTTGGCAAAATCTTGTCATGGGGTAGGGTACCAATAGGCTATATTTAAACCCCCAGAAAATGGGATAAAAGGAGAATTCACAAAAGGCCAAATTCTTTAAGAGCTTGGAAAACGATTTACTTTACTAATGTTTTCTGTTTATATTAGCATCTGACTGGTGTTGCAGATTAGAAATGTCACCTATGTATCCGCCCTTGTCCTGCCTATAATCATTGTTCCCACCTGGATGTAGTTCATGTGTTTCTAGTCTTGTCATTCCTATAAGTAGGCCTCTTGTTTCTGTGTTCGTTTGTCAGAGTTTGCATCAGTTTGGTTTGTGTTTGCTTTATGTTTTTTTTTTTTTATTATTATTATTGCTTGAAACAGTTCAGGCCTACAAGCTTCACTGCATGCAAGAAATATCTCACAAAACACCGCTCATGGCTTTGCTTTCAGAAAATCATTTTGAAGAGCATGATAAAACACAAGTACCTCGTATTTTTTCGATTTTGTTATTTTTTATTCACATGCAATTTTTAATGGAATTGTTGATTAAAGAATATTGTTTTATTTTATTTTTATTCTGTTTAAGTTTTGAACAATCTTTCTTCTTTGTTCCTGATTTGAAAGAATGAAGTATTTCCTTTATTTTTTTTTTCTTTTGCAAAATAATATCTTGGAGGTAGGTGGTGGGGCCCCAAGTAGAATGATCTGCATAATTTAAACCCTGTATTTACAAAGAACTTTTGCTTTTCATCATCTACGGTACAGAATATCATTAAAAATTCAGAGAATCTGGAGAAATCTCTGCGTGCCACAAGTGACAAGGCCAAAAACCAGTAATTGCTGGCCGTGATCTTTGGTGCATCCTCAGGTGCATTAAAAGCACACATGATTCTGTAGTGTAAATCACTGCATGGGCTCAGAAACACTTCTGAAAACCACTGTCTGTGAAAACAGTTTGTCACTGCATGCGCAAATGCTAATTAAAGCTCTAAAATACAAAGAAGAAGCCACATATAAACAGGATCCAGAAACACCGCCACCTTCTCTGGGCCTGAGCTCATTCAAAATGGACTGAAGGGGAGTGGAAAAGTGTTCTGTGGCCCAACGAATCAGCATTTGAAATTCTTTTTGGCAATTATGGACACTGTGTCCTCCGGGCTAAAGTCCACTCAGCTTGTAACTTGGACTTCAGACTGTAATACTTTTAGTATTATTTTCACAAGTGTAAATTTAAGATTTAGGGTTTGGGACAGACACCTCCAAGTAGAAAACACACTATAAATGATGATTTTGTATATATTTAGATTACTGTCTCAATTATGCCTTTGGCAGCTGGCATTTTCAAATCATGTGAAACCATTAAAAAGGACAAACATGCAGATACATGGTTTTCCTCCAACAGGGACAAATATACAGTCGTTTGCAACTGTTTGGGCACCACTGGTCAAATTACATGTTTTTGTTCATTTTCTAAATGTGAATAAATCAACACATTCTGTACAGAGAGGATTTTCAAGTTAAATAAATAATTACTGTTATATATTGGAGAAAAATAAAACATGGCCTGTACAGAAGTGTTTTTTTTTTCTTTTCAATATGTTAAATTTAGTAAAATAAACAGAATTTGTGCACAATATGTTTTGGGAAATGCCATATTTTTCAGTTTCACATTTGTTCCCTGTAGAGGATGTGTTAACTTGTTTTCACTTAAAAATCAAAACATATCATATAACTGGGGAGTTACACTTGCAATAATTTGTGCTACTGGAATATTCTCTTTGCACTTAGACTGTGCTTAAAGTTCTAAATATGACTGTTGCTTCAGTTATGAAGGGAGAACAGAGGAGTTTGAGAGTTCAGAGAGAAAGAGAGAGTGACAGGAAGAGAGGAAGTGAGAAAGGAAGAGAACAGTATAGAGAGAGAGCGAGAGAGAGAGCGTGGTGTTTAAAGGACATGAAAAGTGTGAGCGCTGAGGGTTTTCAAACGGACGTATTTTGTATTTTGAGCCCAATATAGGCTGTGTGTGTGTGTGTGTGTGTGTGTGTGTGTGTGTGTGTGTAGCTCATTTACATATATCAATCTTAAAGACACAGTAACAAAAGCAGCCTGTTTAGTTCTAAGGGATAAAGAGAGGAGATGTACAACTGAATTATGACTGTTTCAGTACATACACTTACACAAACATCATTAGAAAGTACAAGACCTCTTTAAACACCAGTCAGAATGTCAGTGAGCTGATATGCATCATATACGTTGCATATCACCAGAGGGAGCTCTCTATATAGACAGCACAGTACATCACTGGCCAAGGTCACTGCAGGGCAGGCAGGAGATCAAAAACAGAAGTATACTGAACTTGTGAGAAAGCGAGAGAGGCAGAGAAGAAGTCAAGTCATTTAGCTGATGGTGCAAAATCATCTAAATAACAATGAGGCTTATGAATCCCGAAATTGTGAACTTTCTACTCGTTTTCATCCTCCAGAGTGTCCCAGGTAAGAGCTTAATGTGCTTATGGGGGTCTACTGCAGACGCCTGTCTTTGATTTTGTTTAACCCTTTTACCTAGAGCATAGAAATCGTTGGCGCTACCTTTTAATTTACTCTTATTTCTCAGTATGTAATGTGATCTGTAAGTGCATTTCATGTCTTTTTTAAGTGAAAAGAAAATGATCTATCAAAGCTGACAATTCATAGATTTTTGCCATAAAGTACCATTTTGAACAAGCAAACAAATGCATCAAATTAGACTTCACACTTGAAGGAAGGGTTGACCGATTTTTTTGTGCACTGGAGCTATGGTAGAAAGAAATAAATAAACAAAAGTGGAGTGACTTGAACTTCTATTATATTAGACTTGTATCTCCAGCACAGTATCTGTACCTCTGCCCATATTATTCATTCTGACGCATTTGGTGATATTTGAACCAACATTAGACATTTTGTGTCACACCCAGTGCATGTGGTTTAAAGCAGGGGTTCTAAACCTTTTCCACCCCAAGGCCCACCTGTGTATAACTACAAAGCATAGCAGCCCACAGGGAATCTAAAATCAACTTTTTTAAATGCAACTTTGTTTTTATTTTCTTAAATGCTGACACTGAAAACCTGAAATTGAGATCCTGAGAAAGATCAGATCGGCCATTCTGGTTGTCAGTAGGTTTGCAAAATTTGCAGGTATGTTAAAAAACATGAAACATGTTTAAAAATAAAAAAAACATTGTTGTAGTGATGTCAAAAAGGGGTAAAAAAAAAAAAGAACAGAAATACAAAGTAGTTGTGATTTGGAGCAGAAGTCCACACCAAACAAAGCGCCCTGAGAAACTCGATCTCTGGCTCACTGTGTGCATTACGAGCCCGTGGCTGCGCTGTCTCAGACTGATGATGTTTAATTAATAACGTATATATATATATATATATATATATATATATATATATATATTCATTCTTAGATTTTTAATGATTAAGTAAATAATTTTTCCACTTATGTTTTTATGACTTAGTGACATTACTGGCCTGAATTTCTGCCTCCCTCTGAGTACAGGCCTACGGCCCGCAGACTGAGAAACCCAGGTTTAAAGAACAAGCCTTACGTAGCTAACAAGTAATGGTAGTGACCCAAAATCTTTTTGGATAACATAGACTTCTATTATTCTATTAGCTGGTAACTCCAGTGTAAAACTAAAAACATGCCTTTAGTAATAAACTACATTTGGGGTAATCAGTACTTTGTGTAAATTTTATTTTTCTGTGAATCATGTTTAGTACAGGCCTGCCCTGACCATGTCAGTTTAGCTGATGAATAATTTCCATTTAAATGATTGTGCAAAACATGATTTTTTTTATTCATTGAATGCAACTATTAAAGTGTAAGCTTAAAGCGCCAAACTGCCCTCTATCTGCTTTCTTTTATTTACATGTATTTGCCTGAACCCAACTGATAAAACATACGCAACTTCCATTCTTTTTCTTCATGATGTAAACATATGATTGTGTATTAATTGGGACAGGCCTAGTTTAGTTGTCCTTAAAAGTGTTGATGTTGGCATCTACAAGATTAGAGGGTTTCAGAGGTTTTGTGTTGTTACGGTTACAGTATATGGCCAAACGTATGTGGACACCTGACCATCATTCCTATTTGAGCTTGTTGTACATCTCATTCCAAAACCATGGACACCAATATGAAGTTGACCCCCTTTATGACTGTCAGTCTCCATTGTTTCTGGAACATTTTGCAGTTTGTCTGTGGGAGTCCAAGTCCATTCAGTCAAAACAGCATTCGTGAGTCAGGCACTGATGTTGAACAAGATGGTCTGGCTCGCAATCAACATTCAAATTCGACCATCTAAGCGATGGCCCCATCGTCAAGCCTGTGCTAGCTTTTACCCTCCTAGCACTGGTAGTATTGTGTGATTGGGGAAGTCCTAGTGAGTAGAATTCCAAGTGTCCAAATTGGTGAGAAAATTGGGAAAAATGAAAAAACAACAACAACAAAAAAAAACATTCAAATTTGTCCTATGGTGGTTAGTGGGGTTGAAGTCAGGTTCTGTTCAGGCCACTGGATCTTCTCCACACCAACCCCATCAAACCATGCCTTCATGAACCCCATCATGCTAAAACAGGAAAAGGCCTGAGCTGTTGTTTCCTATACAATTCCATTTCACAATAATAACACTTACAGTTGACTAGGATAGATCTAGCAGTGCATTAATTAATTTTATGCACCTGTTAACAATGGGTGTGGCTGAAAAACATTACCATTACTCGCTCTCTCTCCCTCTTTCATTATCCCTCTCTCTCCATGTAGGGGTAAGATGTGAGACTGAAGAGCTAAATTACACAGCATATAAAGTCAGGATCAGATGTCCATATAAACCTGGATACAAAGAAAAATACTTTTGCAAAGGTGATGCTAAAATCCCCTTTGAGGCTGGACAGAGCAGGAAATTCTTGCTGCATGACAACACGTCAGCCCATATCTTCACTCTCAACATCACTCATCTGGAACTGGAGGATAAAGGCACATACTGGTGTGTAAGAAGGGGCAACTCGTCTTCTGACATTTACAGGACAAAGATCCACCTAGATATTAAACCTGGTGAGCGTTTTGTCATTAAATACAATGATTTGAAAAGTGTCAAACTGACTGCTGGTGAACTCCTAAATGTAGCCTAAACTCATCCTGAAATCTGACCTGTTAACTTTCTCATTACAGAGTTGACTTGTGAATTAGGTCAAAATGTATCTATTCAATGCCACTATAACCAGGAACTCAGGAATTCAGTAAAGTTCCTCTGCAAGGAACAGAACTCATCTGACTGTGCAGAGGGAGGAGTCAAAATTACTTCAGCCAATCCTCAGACTGACCGAGTGTCTCTGAGTGATGATGCTTCTGCTGGAGTCTTTACTGTAACTATTGCTGGTCTAAAACAGGAGGATTCTGGGACGTACTGGTGTGGGGGTTCCACAGGGTTGGAGCATGTGCTCATTTCTTCTGTGGATCTCAACATTTTCCGAGGTAAGCCTTCACTGCTGTCACAAGCACCATATGTCTGAAATAGATACTGTTAGATACTAAGGTGAACACATAGAAGTCAGTTTTTTTAGACTGAGTTGTCCAGTGGCTATGCTACTGTATAACACTGTATGAAAGGTGGTCACTGTCCACTGACAATAATTCTAGAAAAGCCAAAACTGTGGTTTCCTTAAGCACTGCTGGAGTTGGATGAGTTTCACAAGTGAAGGTTCTGTGGTGTAATTTGCAATAGATTTGACTGATAGAACACATGACAGAATTTTTTACTGATACGGCTGCAAAATATTTGGACACATTCACATACAAAAGATTATTTTGTACAGTTGTGGGTTTACAGCTGTGAACAGAAAACATAATGATTATCAGAGTCTGTCATTATCTGACTGGGTTGAGTCTAAGTGTCAAGGCGATACCATTAACCCAAACCGAGGCTTTCAAGGGGTCGAGCAATGCTTCAGCAAGCTGTGGCCAGCTGTCCAAGAAAGCATGATAGGCCAGTGCAGGCATCTGACATACCAGAATTTGCAGGTTTAATAGGGTGATGTGTTGTAGTGTGTTGCGCTGGTATGAGTGGATCAGACACAGCAGTGCTGCTGGAGTTTTTAAACACTGTGTCCACTCACTGTCCACTCTATTAGACACTCCTACCTTGTTGGTCCACCTTGTAGATGTAAAATCAGACACGATAGCTTATCTGCTGGTGTTGGTCATCCTCTAGTCCTTCATCAGTGGTCACAGGACACTGTCGCCTGGATGTTTTCGGTTCTCAGTCCAGCAGCAACACTGAGGTGTCTAAAAACTCCAGCAGCACTGCTGTGTCTGATCCACTCGCACCAGCGCAACACACACTAACACACAAAGTGGACATAAAATGGACAATGGATGTGTAATGAAGTGGCCAATCCCTGCATATAATCAAAAGTTAGCTTGCTAAACCTAGAATCCAACTTTGAATATGAGTTCAGATTAAAGGTGGACTAAACCTGGTTTGTTTTTTTCTGATACATTCAGCTGTTATATTGTATAATTAATAGCTAAAACGGACATGCTAATGTGTTCTTGGTACAGTAAAGTATTTTGCACTTTATTTACTGCTCTTTATTGCATATAACTGTTTTTATGATGGTTACAGATGCAAAATCATCACATAACCTCAGCAGACCAACAAAACCAAAGAATCAGTCCGCAACTGTTGTGTTGACTTTACCATCACCTTCAACTCCAAAATCAGAGTCAGGTAAAACATTCAAAACTGATTTGATAGTTTGGTTCATTTTGATCTTTTAAATGATTTTTAATCAGTTCTGTCTGTATCTGAAGGAAACTTCGTGCTCAGTATTTCCTCTGTGGCAGTGGGCATTCTGCTGTTTGGTGTCATCCTCTACTCATTTCGCAGATGGACACAGAAGAAACGTGGTAACTATCACTATATCTTTACATACATCAATGCACAGACTAGAGGCATCATAAGATATAGCGTAGTGTGGGCATAGAGTAACACAGAGGGGAGGCCATGGTTCTAGAGGTGCTATTTATTAAACACAAGGGCAGAAAGGCACATACAAAACACGAAACCCAACAGGGGAGGTCACCATTACTAACCCGCCCAACACAAAACACCCACAGCCCAACATAACATACTGCATACCTGTAACAGGCAAACAATAACATAAACAACATTTCAAATCCTTTTTTGACCAGCATGGCCACACCTCATGAGCATCTAGAGGCCAGCACCTGTCAGTAGCAGGTCACCACAATATTTACGGGTGTAGGGATATTTATGGATGCTGAAGAGGGGTAAAAAATTGCCTTCCAAATTCATTGTTAGAGTAGTCAAAGACATACAATCAGGGCTAATTGTTAAGTTTGCACACAGAAGATCTGTCTCTTAAGACTTTTCTCCCCTTTGCCCCTACCACTTAGCCCTTACCCCTTCGTTTTGCACTGTCACGCCTAGAGGTATGGTGTTCCAATTTTTGTTGATGGAGGGGAAGAGTGAAGTGTTAGGACTACATGGCCCTCCAAATGGAGATTTTATAGAGGCACACTCCAAACAGAGTGTTGTGAGAAAAAGAGGAAAACCGACGAGACGACCAAAGAGAGACCGAAGAAACCCACAAATGTGAGAATTTTCCCTGTTAAAAAAATAAGATAACCATTGTATTATCTTAGTTTAATGAATTATGGTGATTTTCTTTATAACAAGCATAAAAAATCGCTAGTAGTATGCTGATGTCTCTAGCTAAATTTTCCGTTCCATCTTAAATGGTGCAGCAGTTCTGATGCCTGAGGTGCCAGAATGTAACTGCTGCACCATTTAAAGTGGAACGGGTAAATTTGAACAAGAAGCTGGTGAAAAGCTGACTTCAGCTACATATCACTGAAGAATTAGGGGTGGATGATAATAAATAATTGTCACATTTATTAACTAAAGCCCAGCAGCGAGGAACTGAACTTTACCCTCCTCTGCTATCACTGGAGTCTGGCAGGGTCGCCTACAGAGCAGCGCTAGTAGCTGTTAATGAAGTAATGCTCTTTTAATTTGAGTTGGAGAAGATTTCAACCCTTACCCCTTGTAACTCACTTCCAAGGGTCAAGGTGAGACTCAAAAATAAGGGGTAGCGGTAAAAATAAGAAATGGGGTTGGGCCTAAAATGCTTGAATACTGTCCATCCAATAACAATTAAGCAAAGGTATTAAAGTCATGCAATCCTTTAGATAATTAGTATTAGGAAATTAGATAAGTTGTAGGTCTTAATTATGTTCTATAGGTACCTGAACTGCTCCAGATATGTAAGAACTAATGGCTTAATGAGAGATCAGTCAAAGAGCTCAAATTTAAAGAGGCAAAATCTTTCGGATTAGCCTTCAGTGGAACTGACACCTCTCTTGAAGATAGTCAATAAGCTATAAACTACTGCTAGCTAAGTAAGTTGAGGTCAGCATTTCTCACTGCCCAACTGCTCGGATATGTCCTCATCCTCCTCAAATACCTCTTGCATTGTTGTCTTCTCAATGCCACCTTGTTTTTTTTTCAGTTCCATTGCCGCCCATCTTCACATGACTCACATATGAAAAAGTTGCCAGACAGTACCAAATTGACACTCTCACGCTGAATTTGATACACTAATCTCACGAGACTAATGTTAGCTTCAGTGCAGCAGTAACCTGTCCAAATGTAGCTGCAACATAATTTAAGGCGGAACATCAAATGAGAATGCTGTACCACTTGAGGTGGGGCTGCTGGTTTAACCCCTAATTACTACAGATATGCACTTTGATGTAACTTCTGTAGTTTGTCTGAGCGTTCTTGTGCTTATATGTGTGTTTATACATTAGCTTACAGTATCCGGCCCAAAATGCTACTGGCCCATTCAGAATTCACCTGATTACCCTGATTACAACCTAAGCTTTTTCAATTGGTAACTCTTACTATCAGGGGAATTTCCTTAAACAGTTGGCTTGACATCTAGCTAGCATTAACATTATTTTTTTAGCATTTTCTTTACTTTGTGTAATGCTGAGGTTAGGTAACAGTTAGCCAGCATACAGATAACCAAAAACTCAACAGGTATTTATATTTACCATAATTTGCTACAAATTCATACTGTAGACAGGTATGTTTATACTGTACATATGTATTTCACTCTGTAGCACAGCAGCCTCCCCAAGGTCTTAGTGCCCTGCTATTTCAGTACATTTTGAATTTGACACAATGGCTCAGTCAGATAATCTAAACTATTGATGATGTAACACATAATGTACATTTATTTAGGGGGTTATTGAAATCCAGGCTTTAAGATGCCCTTGGCACAGACTATGTCTTTACTGTCCAAAGAAAAACTTTTTTTTTTGGGATTTTTACTTTTCTACAGCATTTGAACATGGCAGCTGCCCTTTACACTGTGTGAAAATTTCATAAGGAGGGGACATAGAAATGCTCCAAAGTGGCTTGGAATAAAATACCTTTACATTAACTTACATTGAAAGTTAAGAATGTTTTTGCTCTCTCATGTAAAGTTACCATTTCATAGGATGCTTATTTTTCATTGGACAGCAACGACATGCACTGATGCACAAACAGGTAGTTAGAATAACTCAGGCTTTAGCTCTGTGTGCCCACATTCACACTTATAGTCTTAAAGTGGCACTTCCACATTTCTTAATGTGTGCCACATGTTTCATCACTTCTCATTTTCCACCCAAAAATAACCAACATTTGTTTAGTCAGTTGCTCACTGAACTGTGGCTTCACACCTCTTGTTCATTAAAACTACCCAAGTGAAAAAAGTATATTTCACCCCCTGGTGATGAAGAGGAGTGAATGCAGTTGAGTTCTCACTGCTGTTTTTCATTTGTGCTCCGCAGATCGTGGCTCCTCAGCTGAAGTTAAAGACGGAGATAACACAAGGGTGAGTTACAGGGTATGTGTTTATTTCTTTATGTAGCAAATACACAGCAGCTGCAAACATTTCTGCTGGAAAGAGCTCACGTTCAAGTCATCATTGCTGCCTTTGACATCTCTTTTTTTTTACTCAGTAAATGCCACAGTCATGCTTGTATCAGTGAAATCTGTCGTCTCTGTTTCATCTGTTCCATTCATTCCTCATTGATTTCTAACTGTCCTCAGCTCTCTCCTCCTGCTGCAGACTACGATGAGATTAAAGACAGCAAAGATCGTCCAGACACTCACAGTAAAGCATCCACTGCTGAATTACTCACAGACCCCTCGGGTTCTCCTACAGACCAGACTGATGGTCATGACTATGCTATTGTGACCTTCCAGCCAAATCCGAGCTGTACAGATCAGACTGACAGTCTTGACTACTCCACATTGACCTTCCAGCCAAACAGCTCCGATTATGAGGTTCATGCTTCAGGGGAGATGTGCACTTACTCCACTGTCAATCACCCTCAGTCAGAGTAAGGAGATGGAGAGCTGTGGGTGCATCAGATGTCCTGTAAAGTCATGGTTATTATATGGGACGGTGCTGTTGGTAAAGTGTGCATGGGAGACTGTTTTTGTCATCTGTCTGTTAGATCATTTTTCTAGTGACAAGCTTTTATATTTAGTTTTATGAATAGTTTAAATTGCCTTATTGTTTTCAATCTCCTTTAATATAATAATAATAATAATAATAATAAATGATTGTTTTTGAGACCTTGAGACCGCAAGCTTCAAAATCATTCTGATGGTACACTGACTTATAATAGGGAGAATAGTGTCGCTGTCATCGCCACTCCAGGCCGGAATGCCTGCTATGGCACTATGTTAGTTGGAGGAGCGGCACGAGACCTCTCAAGAATCGCATTGAACATTTTATGGCACCACTTAACGCACCAACAGCTTATAGTTAGCTATAAGAAGAAGCTAGCTCAGTATTTACAGTATGGACATTATGACAGAGGCTGCAAACAGACCTTAGAAGACATTGTTAGAGGAAGTGAAGAAGTGGGAAAAGGAGAGGGAGACTGAGCAAGAGAATGGACAAGAGTAAATAGACTGGCTTTTACTCGTTGATGGGGGCTAAAAGAGATAAAAGGATGCAAGACTAATGCAAGGCCAACGTGAAAACAGTGAAAATATGACAGCGAGTGTTCATCCCTGCCAGTGTTCTGTATGAAAGATTGAGACATTGGCAGTAACCTTATCTGTGTCAGTCCTGTCTCACAATGTTTTGTAGCTTTTTTGGATTTCAAAAGTCATCTAGCCTCCTGTGTCAGGGGGCGCTTTTTTCATCATTTAGATCAAAAATGATTTCATTAACAACAGTGACTTTTTAATGGTGTTTCATAGCTTTGGGGCTTTTGAAGGCCAAACGTAGCTCGACCTGTCAGATCTGTTATATGATGAAGCTGAATAACACTACTCATAATTTGGTGTTATCAGGTACCGTCTGAGTTCTAAATGAGTTCTGATGTGAACAACAAGTGATCTGAGATCACATCAATGCGAAAGAGGACCAGAAAGAGAACCAAGTCCCCTTTAAAATGTGCTTACATTGTGGACACAGACAGCACTGGGTCCTTTGTAGCTGGTTCACTTTCATAGAACTGAATTTGGTTCATTCATAAAGAACTACGTGTGAAAACACCCTTACAAACATTTGTATGTGCTTTGAATATACTTGTGCATGTCCATCTACTGATAGCTCCTTACTGAGAAGAGTGACCACACAGCCTGACAGTGGAAACTGAAACCGCTCAAAGGAAAGACACTGGGCACTGTTTGAAATGTAGTGTATAGTTTAGACACGGTTATAATGGGATATGTCAAAGCTACATATTTACTTTTTTCCTGTGATTATAGTGCAGCACTGCAATATTTTACCAGGGCAAATGTACTGGTAAATGGGGTCTAGTGACACCCCTGTTATACAGTGCATGAAGCATTATTTTTATAAAGAACTGACAACTGAATGTCACTGCAAAAACAATGTCAATACCAAACAGACAGTTTGTTTTGACAATAGTTGTGACTATTTTGGTTGTAACAATCAAAGCTAATTTTGCGTTTATCTCTAAATGTGTAAATGTACATAACATTACATAAAATTTTTAATGAGTTACAGATAAATTATGAAAAACACATTGTTTTTCAAGCATCAAATATTGTTTGTGAGTGATATATTGTTCAGTAGTCAAGAACTGCAATGGTATATTAGATCAAAAACTAGTAAAAAATAAATTATTTAAGTGCTTTATTGTTGCGTAAGTAATTTCAGAGTTCAGGCTTGGGGACATTTATTTTTATCAAATTATTAGTTAAAATAATTCACTTGTGTTGCTGAGCATTAAATGTTATGTGTGTAAATATGTTTCCCATTTCTGCATGCAAAATGTACAATATGTAAATAATAAAGTAGTTTCAAATACTAGTGATTAGGCAGATGATACATGATGCATGTGTGGTGTTATTTGGGGCGATTCAGCACTCAACAGGTAGAGGTCAATAGACACACAAAGCAAATTCATAAAACCCAGGAAGCAATGCAAGAGTCAAACACAGAAAAACCACAACCCAGAGAAACACGGCTCAGTGAAATATCACAGAGACGCCACAAGGAACAGATATAAACGAAGGTGTATTCACCAACTGGCCGCTTCATTAAGTCCACCTCCTTGTTTCTACACTCATCATCAGCTCCACTGATCATATAGTTTCACTCTGTAGTTCTACAGTTACAGAGTGTAGTCTATCTCATGTCTGCATACTTTGTTACCCTGTTCTTCAATGGTCTGGACCCCCACAGGACCACCACAGAGCGGGTATTATTTGGGTGGTGGGTCGTTCTCAGCAGTGACACTGACATGTTGGTGGTGTGTTAGTGTGTGTTGTGCTGGTACGAGTGGATCAGACACAGCAGTGCTGCTGGAGTTTTTAAACACTGTGTCCACTCACTGTCCACTCTATTAGACACTCCTACCTTGTTGGTCCACCTTGTAGATGTAAAGTCAGAGACGATATCTCATCTGTTGCTGCAGTTTGTGTTGGTCATCTTCTAGTCCCTTATCAGTGGTCACAGGACACTGTTGGCTGGATATTTTTGGTTGGTGGATTATTCTCAGTCCAGCAGTGACACTGAAGTGTAACATAAGCTCAGTAATTATTGGCTGTAAGATGGTGTATATACTAGCTAGTTATATTTGCTAACTTCTTTTGTCGAACCTGAAGTTGGATTCCTCAAATTTTGCTTTCCATCATAAATGGCAGCAGAAAGAAGCTTGAACTCAGGAGAGATGCTGATGATGTCAGTTAGGAATGACATCTAAGCCAGGAACATTTTTAAAGTGTATGTTACTGCTCAGTTAACGAGAACGATATAATGATAGTGAAGTTTCACACAGAACCACTGTATCAGAGGAATGACTGATAGAGAGTGACTGATGGAGAGGAAGGAATCTGCTCCCTGGGGCTTTAAACAATTTGCCCCCTGCAGGTTATGTAATTGTTAGTTTGCCACCTTCAGTCATGATTACTAAGGAGCACTTACCAAAAATTAGTACATGAGAGTAAACATTACAGCGTCTCTCACAGTTACTAATGATGATAACATACTGTTATATTACAGGACCATATTGGTCATAATAACCCACCATTACATGTTTATGTAGCAGGCTTCAAGTAAAGTGTTCTCCGCAAAATAAATAAATATATAAATAAATAATACAACAAAATCATGATCACCCTCTCGAAATTTTTAGTGATAACAAACAATATGTTTAATATGGAATATTAATTAGTGATAATTCTGCAGCTTATTGTAGCCCTAATTCTGTCCATTTGATATGACCATCCAGATGCTTTTGAAGGCCTGATTAAGAAAATCAATTATGTGCATGTAGAAGTTCATAATTTATTAAACCGATGCTAAAAGTTTCTTATGATTGTGACGATGCCTCACCGAACCCCGTGAGGAGTCACCGGGTAGGTTGTGACGGAATGGTATGTGGGATGAAGTTGCAGGTTGAAGATAGGATGACTCTGAGTGGTTCTTTTCAAACTGTTAGTGATTTATTTACAAATGTGAAAACATACAAAAGAAAAACTGTGCAAACGAAAACAAAGGTGGTTAAAATGTTAACCCGACTCGATGGCAGTACAGGTAAGTATATTTAGTCCTAGGCCACAAGGTCATTGAACTACACTCCTGACTAGCTTTACTCAGATTTCCCTCAGCTGCCTCTCAGGCTGAGGTGAGTACTATCGAGCTAGTCCCTCTTACTGAACCTTTCCCATACCTCTTATAGGCTTAGCATCGCTGCTGCATCACCTGAGTTAATCCATTCCACTCCACAGGGGTGTTGCTGTCCTCTCCCATGAGCTAGCATTGGGCCCTCCGGCACACTCATGAGTGAGCTCAGTCTGCTCTGCCTCTCTTTTGCTGACTCTGCTATGAAACAGACAACAGGTGAGTATTACATACACATACTCATATACATACAGTCTTTGCCTCAACACAATGTTTAATCTGCTCTTCTCTGTCAACCATGTGATTTCTCACTGCTGTTGTTGCAAGCATTTGATACAAAAAGAATGTTATTAACAGCTGAAATGTTCTAACGTTTTATTTAACTTGTGTAACAATTTATAAAAAAACCTCCATGAAAATGAATGAGTTATAGGTCAGTCCCGTTTTATAATTACGCTGATTAAACAAATCACTAATAAACACTTATCAATCCTAACTGCTCTTTGAATGAGCTTGTCTGGTCACCTGGGAAAAATCACAGTGTATCTAACCATGAAAAAAGACTTCTGCATTTTGTATAGTGACAGAAAACATGATATCAGACAGAAAATATTGATTCTATGCAGTTTAACTCTGGTCACCGTGGATGTGCATTTGGTGAAACTCCTCTAGCAGATTTGAACAAGTTTAAGGGTCAAATCCTCAAAATGGATCAACAGTCAGATGCTTGGATTGATCGAGTTAAAAACTGTTCAATTCCACCATTAAAGCTTTTCTCATGCGAAAAATGCCGCATTTTCCCTAAGTTTTATAGAGTTTAGGTTCCAGAGAATTCATTTGTTCAAGAACTGTACCTTCATCAACTGCAGCCATTTCCTCTTCTCTATCTTCTCTATCTCAATTAAGAAAAGTGCTAGAATGCATATCTACACTGTTAAAAATGAAGTGTACTGCTGAGCAGGTACATTTTCCTTTCATCAGGGTACAAACAATGTAATTGACCAGGGTCCAGTTGTGAACCTTAAATGAGTTTTTACAGGTCAAAAGTTCATATTTGTACATTTTCATAACCTAATATTTTAAAACAGAACAGTAAAATAAAAAGCCTGGAGACGAGACGGGGTGTGTGGAGTCAGTACAGCTTAGAGAATACCATTTCAGTGGATTATGGTTCAGTTATGTTCCCTGACTAAAGGTACTGAGATGTACCCTTGAAGGTCCCACCCCAGTGACAAGAGGGGCACTGCCCCAGTGACAGTTTAGTACCTTTATTTCTGAGAGTGTATTCAAACAACAACAGATACAGCAGATTAAAGTTGAAAGAATTTAGACTCTTTTTAACCCTCAATGGTGCTTCACCAAAGAATTTAGTGATTTAGTGAAAATGTTCACAGGTTCCATCATTGTTTTTTGCTTTTGAAATCTGAGGGAGTGCTTGGAACTGGAAGCGGCTATTATGTCCGACGTAACAAGCGAAAAGAGAGAGAGTAAATGAAAAATGTCTTTTAGCAGAGAATGTTCACTAGTTTAATCTCTCTACAAGTGTCAAATTTGTTAATTTAATGGTTTTGAAACATGTAAACAATTAGCAATGTAGGTTAAAACAACTGAAAAAGGGACTCTATTGTGACCACTTCTAAATGCAGCAAATAGGTTAGCAGATTTTCTCGAATCTTTTGAATAAAAAACGAGTTTGATTATCTCGTTGCTTACTAATACTTTAGAAAGACCAATTGATAGTGTATCACAGTAAGAAAACCATTCTACCCTGCTCGACTATATTCTACATTAGCTAGCGAAGCTAACGCGGTGAACAACAGTGATGTGTCGTTCACGAACGAGTCGGCTCTTTGAGTCGGCTCTTTCAGGGGAAAGTTAGAGAGCCGACTCGCATTAAGGAGCCCCCTTTTTGGTTAAAAGACAAAAGTTATTTCGCCCCCTCATTATTCCCAGTTCTTATCCGTATTTTCAATACGGACCACCGCTACTTATTCTGATTTTTGACACAAATCTGCCTTTTCTTTTGAATGAAGAGCCGTTTGGGAGCAGAAGGCGTCGACTCTTATTGGTGAGCTGAACCGTCTGCCGCAACACCATCACTAGTAAACACCAATAGCGCCGTGGAGCTTTTAAAAAACCTCCACCTCTTGTGAGAGACCACAAATGGCGTCACGGAGTCCTTCTGCTGAACGTGCAAGAGATGGCGACTTTCTTATAATCACAAAAATACTCGTTTCACTGAAATCAGCGCCGGGAAATGACCCACTGATCCTCACTGAGGAGGCTTATAGAACACAGAACTTCTGCCATCAGCCCTTCATGGACCACGACTAACGGTGAGTAGCTTTCAGAGTAAAAGTAACACAACAGCATCCGGGGCACTTTCATTTGTATGCGCTGTGCATGTAGTGTATGTAGACTTTTTCTTTGTGTGTGCTTGCACTGCAGAAACGAATAAAGAACAGTGAAGTGTGTCAGTGAATGTTTCTGTCGTTGTGCGGATAATAGAAAACGTGTAAATCGTCATCATACAAGACACTCCAGCAGTCCTACGTAGTAAGTTCCGTGCTTACACACAATATCAAACATTAAAACATTATACAATTACTTTACATTAAAGAAGACGATTTTTCACAATGTCTGCATAATTAAATGGTTCAGATGTAAACAAAGTCATCATGCAGAGAGGTTTGAAATGAAATGCTGCGTTCTAGAAGAACGTACCCACCCTGCTGAAAAAAAAAAACATAGAAACCTTTGTGTTCTGTTGGTTTCTGATGGCTTTATAATGTGTTTTGGCTTTTTAATGGGTTAATATCGCGGTGTAAAGGATCCTAATGGTTTAACAGGTGACCAGTGGCTGATTCTAAATGCATTTCATGGTTTCCTAATGGGATCTAAAGGTGTTCTACAGGAAACTAGTGGTGACGAAACACAGTGGTAAACAGGCCATCGTCCCAACTTTTTTTGAATGTGTTGTTGGAATCAAATTCAAAATGGGCATATATATTTTTTTAAAAAACAATAAAATTTCCTAGTTTCAATATTTTGATATGTTGTCTTTGTACTATTTCCAATGAAATATAGGGTTTTAATGATTTGCACGTCATTGCAGTCTGTGTTTATTTTTGAATACACTGCCTGATGCCAGAGACACTGTTTTATAATACTTTACTCTGGCCAAAAGATGTCAAAGATGTAATTATGCAGCAATCTGGAAGAATTTTCCTTTAATATTTCTTTGCATTATTAGCTTATTTTAAGAATGAATGGGACACTTTTAGCAAACGATAAACATGAAGTCACACAGTTAACAGGAAGTCACAAGATTAGGCCAAGACAGCAGTAATTCATCACAGTGTAAACAGACTTTGGTAACAGTGGTGCATACACATTGTCAGGCATAATTTAAGTGTATAATTATAGTTTAATTACATAAATAAGCATAATAATGTGTATTTACTAACGTATTGCCTTCCAAAGAAAAATATCTCCAACTTTACAGGAGAAGGCACAAAATGTTCTTTATTTTTAATGTAAGTTAATGTAAAGAGGTCTTATTTCTATTGGTCCAGGGAAAGACAAATACCACCTACAAACCACCATCTCACCTAAATCACATTGACCAACATGACCACAGATCATTAGATTAGAACAGTTTTAAAGTACTACATTCCTTTAAGCTGAGTATTAAAACAAGCTGAAGTAATTACAGTAGTGCACTTGGTTGCACCATCATCTGTTAGCAAAATTAAATGTCATGCATCACCTCTGTTAGCATCATCTCTTTCCCCAGTGACTGAAAATGGAGTCTGTGATGGCGCTGCTGCTGGCTGCTCTGCTGATTGTTCTTTCTACCTGGATCTGGAGAAAGAGAGGCCTAAATCAGCCTTTGAGCACTCAACACAATGCAGGTGAGTTTTTTTATTTGAATTTATTGTGTTACATCAGAGTAATTAAAATAGTCTTTGAGTAGTTTGCTTATCTGAGTGCCAGTAGCCTACTAAGAAGATCTACACTGATTCGCCAGTATACTCTTCATTAGTACTGCAACCAAAGGAAATCAGGACGATCCCAAGGGCCCTGAAGAGACAGAGACAAAGATTGTACCCTTTTTTGCATGTCGTTTATGGGCTAACTGAAAGATTCTTAACTGAAATGCTTCATTCATTCATTAATAACTAAGTAATAATCTTTTCAATGCTGACTGCAATGCATCTTGCACTCTATCAACCCTTTCTAGTATAAACATTCAGTACTTTAGTTCTGTCATGTTCTATAAGGAAAACAAGAATTTCATGTTTAATTCAATTTTAAATCAAATGAATACTTATCTTCCAAAGAAAAATCAGGTTTTAGAAAAGTGAAGAAAATGTAATGGGGAAAACACTGTTACCTAGTTTTTCCACAGGTAAGGGTGGGTGGGCTATCAAGATGAACTCGAGCTATTAACTGAAAGGAAGCTCATAACAAGTGCAGTTGTCAAATGGAAATTTGTCATATAATAAATCAATAGTGCAACTTCAGTGTTTGTGTTAAGATGTCATGTTCTCTTGACCACTGAAATGTAAAAGTTTAACCTGAAAGAGAAGGTTTAGTAGAAAGTGATCAGGTGTTTGCTATGTACTCTAAGGACACTATTTAGCCTCTACCTCTGTCTTTAAACCTGAGTAAAGTACAAATGAAAAGCAGAATATTACTACAAATTAATTTCATGATATATAGCCTGATAATGGATATGTCTGTGGAGATTTTTAAGCTTTGAATAATGTATTTATCATGTGCAGGTCAAGAACAGTTCATTTTAGAGTTTGCTTCGACAGCCATGACTTGACACTTTGGACAAGGAACAAACATTACAACTACAGCCAGTTGAATACACTATGCTGATATGCAGTCATGTTATGAGTAGCCTTTTGAAAAGTTTGGCATGCTTTAAGGTTCTGCCAAGAGGAATGAGGTCAGGAAAGGGGCCCATGTGTTTTCCCAGATGGCCTTGCATCTACTCTCATTGTCCCCTGTAACTCAAAGGAAAGGGCCCACAAAAGGACGATCGCTGACCAGATGTTACTTGAGTGATTGACCATTCCAGGATCGTATGCTCTGCTTAGCTAATTTTTGTTTTGGCGGATGTGAAATGAAACACCATGTTACATGACAGCTGCAAATGAATTATCTAATTTTATTAAACTGAGCTTGCAGATTAACCTTCATTAAGCCCATCATGGTAATAAGTGTAGAAACCTGTAGAAACTTCTAATTTGCCTACAGCTCGCTCTCATTTTCTAACAGCTGTGCTTAAGAATGGTTCCCTTTCAGTGCAGGGAGCGCTGGATCAGAGTCCTGCCACTCCTTCTGCTGGATGCTCTGTTGTTTTGAATGCAGATCATGGCACCAGTGTAACCGCTCCTACAGTCAACAGCAACAACTTCTATGGCCCATCTGTTTTTAGCTTCAGCACGAATGCTGCCAACACTGGTATGCTATGATTAACCCATTAATGCCTATATCTGAAATTTTACATTTCCTTTGTTCCAGATGCTCTCTGAGCTTTCCTGAGTACACACCTGAAGAAATTTTCAAATTGAGCAAACCATGTGGCTAAAAATGTAATATTTATCACTAACTTATCATACTAAATTTTGTCGTTTGTTCACATGGAACTACTGATTTTTATCAGAAAAAATAGAAAAATCAAATTCGATTATGAATAATAAGTATGAAAATTACATGTAGTCAAAATTTTAAATGGGTACAGTCAGTATAACTACATAATTTCTTCACTTTACACTAATCAGAACAAGCTCTGTGGTATGGAAAATATCACCATCAAAATAAAATGAAAATGTAATATGACGTCAATTTATTTGTATGTTTGCGTTCAAAATTCCCACTCGTATATGCAATGTTGAGCTCTAGTACTAGTATTGACATTTCATTTACACAAAGGTTTAGATGCTTAATGAGTAGTTATATTTAAATTAAAAATGTATTTCCAGAACTGCATATTATTAATGTGATTATGCAATAATTGTGTAAAAATTATAGTTAAAATGTACTTGATAAGTAAAATGGAGATAAAAAAAAATCATGTTTTGAGTATATTGATAAAAATCAGAAGATTAGTGAAATAATGCGTTACTTTTTTTTGTTTTGTTTTGTTTCACAGATTTGACAGAAGCAGACAAATCAAAGAAACAATCAGGTAAACATGGGGCCAGTTTAATCCTTCAAACAAACAAACAACAAATCAGTCTAATGTAAATCATTTGACCCAGTTTTACAAATTCTTAACCACTTCTGTAACTCCTGGAAGTGTACATTTTATGTATAAGTGCAACATCACATATACAATAAAAGTAACCTTTCTCTGTTTGAATCAAACAGAAGCAAGTGTTCTCAAACAAATTCTGGAGACTCACAAAGCCAACCTGAAGGAGAAAATAGAGTATATTTTTGAGGGTAAAAGTGATGTAAAAAATAAGACACGTCTGAAAAAGGTGTACACACAGCTCTTCATCACAGAAGGGGAACTCAAAGAAGTCAACAGTGAACACGAGATACTGAGAATTGACAAAGCTTTCAGGATGCAAAAATGTCAGGACATTCCAATCAAATGTAACGACATCTTCAGTTTACCATGGAAAAATGAAGAGAACAAGGTTGTGCTGACCAAAGGCATTGCTGGCATTGGAAAAACAGTCTCTGTACATAAATTCATTCTTGATTGGATTGAAGGAGAAGCAAACCAGGATATAGACTGCATATTTTTTCTTCCATTCCGAGAGATTAATTTAATTAAACCTGGAGAGTACAGTCTTCATGAGCTACTTCAGGAAATACACCCTGAGCTGGAAGAACTGAAGGAAACAAAAATGTATGAGGCCTGCAAGCTTGCATTCATTTTTGATGGGCTTGATGAATGTCGATTTCCTCTAGATTTCAGTAGTAGCAATGTAAGAAGCATAAAAAAGAAAGCAACTGTGAATGTACTAATTACAAATCTCATTCGAAAAGATTTGCTTCCTTCTGCCCTAATCTGGATCACCTCCCGACCAGCAGCAGCCAATAAAGTCCCTTTACAGTATGTGAGCTTATTCACAGAGGTGCGAGGGTTCACTGATAAACAGAAAGAGGAATACTTCAAAAAGAGAATACCAGGTGAGACTGAAGCCTCTAAAATCATCTCCCATATTAAGACCTCTCGGAGCCTGTACATTATGTGTCACATCCCTGTCTTCTGTTGGATCACTGCTACTGTGCTTCAGGCAATGCTGTTGGAAAACCAGGGAGAAGACATTCCCACCACGCTGACTGAAATGTACATTCACTTTCTGCTCATACAGATGAACATGAAGAACCAAAAATATGACCAGAAAGTCGAGCGAGACTTGAAGAAGCTCCTGCAATCAAACAGAGGAGTAATTTTGAAACTAGCAAAGCTGGCATTTGAGCAACTGAAAAGGGAGAACGTAATGTTCTATGAAGATGATCTGAGGGAGTGTGGTATTGATGTCACAGGAGACTCTGAGTACACCGGAATGTGCACAGAGATCTTCAAGCAGGAAACTATACTTCATGAGGAGAAGGTCTTTTGCTTTATACATCTGAGCATTCAAGAGTTTCTTGCTGCACTTCATGTTTTTTACTGCTACCTGAACAAGGACAGGGATGAGCTGCAGTTTCTGCTTGAGGGTCCAGTTCCTGAAGGCATTACTTTCATTGTGGATTCTCCAAAAAAACTTGTCCTTATATTACCTTCTGATGAAGTCAGTTGACAAAGCTTGGCGGAGTCAGAGAGGATATCTGGATCTTTTCCTGCGTTTTCTGCTGGGCATCACTCTAGACTCCAATCAGAAACTCCTCAAAGGCCTGCTAGAACAAACAGAGGATAGCAAAGAGACTGTCAAGAAATCGATTAGATACATTTCAAAAATACAAAGGAAAGATATATCAGCTGAAGCATCCATCAACCTCCTGTTCTGCTTGCTTGAACTAAAGGACCGCACCTTATTCAAAGAAATCCAAACATACCTTAGTTCAGAGGAAACTCCAGAAACAGAACTCTCACTTTCAGTCTGCTCAGCTTTGGTCTACATAGTTCAGATGTCAGAGGAGATTCTGGATGAGTTCAATCCAAGGACATATAATACATCAAATGCAGGCTGCAGGAGGCTGGTCCCAGCAGTGAGATGCTGCAGAAAAGCTCTGTGAGTGATTATACATAAATTCAGAAGACGAATATTGAAATTATAAAAATATAACAGGGTTGTTTTCCAGACAGGGATTAAGCCTAGCCCAGGACTACCCAGCATTCTGAATTCTACATTCAAAGTAACTATTTCTAATTTCTTTCAGGGAAAATGGACAAAAAGCATTTAAGCAATAATTTTAAATTCAGCTTTCTACATGCTTAAAAACAGTTCTTTAAGGGTTCTTTATTAATAAAAATTGTTATGTATAGAACCATGACAACTCACAATCATTTGCATGCTTAAATGAGTCTTGTCTATAATGGAAAATATGCTGTACATGCTTCTTTAAAAAATATTCTACATGGCATTGCAAGGGTTCTGTGACTGTTACAAGTCTTATGACCTTTTTTTTTGCTTAGAGTGTAGCAAATTTGCAAAAAAGTTATGGCATTGCATACTCCTTGACTGTGCATGTATGAATGTGCTTCACAACATTTATGAACACTTTTATGATAATATGCATAAATGCATTGCTGTTACCTATCAGGTTTAATAGCTGTGGACTCACTGAACAGTGCTGTGAGACTGTGGCTTCAGCCCTGCAGTTACCAAATTCCCCCCTTCGAGAGCTGGACCTCAGTAACAACTCACAGATGGATGCAGGAGCAAAGCTGCTTTCTGAAGGATTAATGAGCCCACAGTGTAAGCTGGAGAATTTAAGGTTAGCACATAGAACTCTAGATTCCTATTTGTGAAGAATGTCTGTGAATGTGTTGATGTTTTAACCAAATCAATTATTTTGTAAAGAACAAAACATAATATTGACAACAAGTATTTAAAATGGGCACTACTGTATGAATTCAGAATTCTTGAGAGTGTTGTCTGCCTCCACCCTCTCCTCCCCAGACTCAAAGCTCACATGGTTTGCCAGGTTGAGGACATTGAACTTACACAAATGAGTGCAAGACGAGCACAACATGCAAACTTAGTGCTATGCTAAATGAGCGCTATGCTGTAAGTTGATCAGCTAATATATACGTTTGTAATGTTTTTGTAACTCTGTTAATGTTAGCTAGATGCATGGCTGGCTATATACAATAGCCAAGGCTAAACCTGTTTTTGTGAATGCAAAACCTCGCTGCTCCAAAAATACTCGCTGCCTTGAACAAAACTGAAGTCAGCTTCTTATTTGAATTTTCCGGGTCCACCTTAAAAAGTGCAGCAGTTACATTGTGGCACATTAGCCTCTTCACCAGCTTCTTGTTTGAATTTTCCTATTCCACCTTAAAGGAGCACGATACTATTCTGGAGAATGATTGTGGAAATTTGAACTCAACAGCAAAACAAATACACCCCTCTCTTCAGTGCTCCTTCAGAAACCCCACCCCAAGACTTGTGGACGTGTGCTGTCAAGGCCAACACGCCTTTTTAGATCTTTGTGGCCATAAAGCCCTTCACAAATGTTGTACACACAAATACTATGACAACATTAGAGTGAACAGTGACACAGCAATTAATGTAACTAACATAGTCGTAGTGGGTTAGCAAACTGTCATTACAGTTGGTCCTATGAAGCTAACCAGTTGCTATCACAAACATTTTCAAACTAGACAAAACAGTACTGACCTATCAATTCTGTGAAACAGCAAAAAATGAGTTAGTGTTACCCACCTGTCCAGCATGAGCAGCCTCCTCATCCTTTTCCTTGCAATTCAATTCTGAATGAAGCTGAAGTCAGCTTCTTTTTTGCCAGCAAAACAAAAAGTGGGAAGGGCCGACATGTCAGGTTCAGACAGAATTCAGACGTTCTCAGACCATGCTTTGGACAGGCTAGTTAACCACAGCCTCTACCTTGTGGTCATCCATGATCACCCCAGAGGCACTAATAACATAACCCAGGAAAGATGCAGTTTGTAAGTGGAATTTGCATTTGTCTCCTTTCACATACAATTGATTTATCCAGGAGCTTGCAAAGTACCTGGTGAACGTGCTTAATGTGGGTTTCCAAATCAGGGGAATAAGCTAGAATATCATCTATGTATGCAATGACGAACTTCCCAGTCATGTCCCATAGGACGTCACATGTTAAAACTTTAGTCAGTGTTCTCAGAGCCTTAGGTAGTGCCATAAAAGGACAGAATTGGCTTTCTCAGGGACTCCGATCCTATGGTAAATACCTTAGTGTCGTAAAAAGAGTGTTTTTGTTCCAAATTGCACGCATGCTAAAATTCACTGTAGATTCACTGCAGGGCAGAGCACATGTATATTAGCAGGCCCACTGATGAATGAGGAATCTAAACATTTTGCTCTGGAAAAGCATCCTAAGCCTGAGGACAGGTAAACTTAAACCTGGACTCCACCTCAACATAGCACATAGAATAAGTGACAGATCTACTTTGTCATCTTACATGCTTCTTATAACATTTTCGTCCTTTATATCTCGATGACAAAAAGGACGAATGCTCCAATGTAGAACACCAGAAGTCCATTACTCTAGCGGTGTTTCTTGATCAGGTTGCATCTGGTAGAATGGGCCTTTGACGAAACCAACAAAACCGACATTGTTTCATCCATTTTAGTATTGTGAGTTTCTTAAACACTGCCTTGATTTTCCTGGACAGCAATTATATAGATGAATTAAATGATTCTGGACTTCACACTACAAATTGTATGCGGGACCCCTATCTTTCCCTGTCTAAACCAAGGGGTCCAAAAGACTAACAAGAAGTGAGGAGTGCTAGCTGCACTTTTTGAAGTAAAGGGTGTGCTGAACCTGTATTTGGCCCCCAGCCAGCTTAAATGCTGACAGTTCTGACCAGGGCTCTTCTTGTTAGTCATCCGCATTAACCCTTTTTTCTGGTGGTAATGCTACTTTGCAAAGTGAAGCAAGTTTTCCCCTTCACATAGTACTGCTGCATTAGCAACTAGAACTTTTCCAGCCTTTCCCATTTATCTAATGAAACAACTGTGTGATTCTTAATCATGATCCACTGTCCTGACTCCACCATTGACTAAATCAAATCTGGATTTTCTTTTGAAACTTCACAAATACCCAAAGCAATGTGGTATATTAGCTTTACACAACCATATTCACCAAAAGCACTCTTATGATTCTCACCAAGATTATAATTAGGGATTAGTAATCTGACCAAAATGAAGATGCCTTTGCATCCTGGTTTATACAGATTTCCTTTCATGTGCACCCTTTAGTGATCATTACTGATAGGTTTGTATGCAATACAAACTTAGTATTGTCAAACTTCCTGACCCTTGCAGGACTATGTTAGTATCTACACACAAAAATGCACCGATGCATAATTATATTGCTGTTTTACCAAAATCAATATTCTTCCTTCATGGAGATTCCCAAAACTCTTGAATTAATATTCACCGGTACAAAAACATTAAAATACCAACTACTCTAATTAGTCACCATTATTCATCTCAGCTCATATGTTATGTGTATTATTACAAAACTTCCAAACTCAACCAATTTAGAAATAGTGTGCTGCTGTTAATCCACACAATTTCCCACTGTTATTTTTAGACATTTTTTCTTTTTTTTTCTGATATCCAACCAGCAGTGGTCCTTATCAATTTTAACCAGACTAGCCATAGTGAGGCTAGTACTATTGTCAAATCTACACTGTGTGCTAATGTTAAGCTTATCAGAATCTTACTCACTCACTGAGCTTGCCCCAAACCTCCACTGTAAAATAAGTTAGCAGTTTGCTCACACTGTCCTGGACCTATGTTTAAACAAAACCAAACATCTATAACAGACATTAGTTATTGTATTAACATCTCAACAATTAAGGTTATCTGTTCATCCTGATTCTGTCACAGACATTAACAGCTAGGGGAAACAGTTGATTCGCTTGACCACTTTTAACTAACTAGCATTAATTAGTGAACAAACCCCATCTTGAGAATCAGACATTACAGTCATCATTAATGACAAGGATTAGAGATCCAAATTCTTTTGAAGGCAAATTAGAAACTTTTAGAAACTGTGAGAGCAGAGCCAAGTGCCCCTATTTTGGACATCAGTTACACACAAGCTTGTACATGAGCTCAGCCAGTGGCATGCCCATGGTCCTGCGGTCATAAAACCATAAGGGCACCCCAACCCAACCCAGTTCAGCAGCAACAGCAAAGGACTGAACTTTTAAACATGGTGGAAAAATTTTTAAATAGTTGGTTTATGATGACTCACAGTAGTATTTACATACAACATATTGTCCTGCTCATGTACTATTGGCTATAAATACACTCCCACAGCAGCTATCATTATTTTAATCGATCCTCCTCTATGGGAATGGCAGAAGACTGAGTTGCTCTCTGGATTAGCTTTAACAGTTTACCTGCCACTTTGGGGAAAGTAACCTCATTCCTGGATCATTCTAAATGCCAAGTTTGAACTCTTCTGCCAGGCAATCTACTTGCTCTGGTCCGGCAGGTGGGAACACCATTCTTCTAAAAAGTTTTGATGATGGTGATGAAAAGCACTGTCTAACATGTTGGTCACAGATCTCCCACAGGTGTTCAACTGAGTTGAGATCTGGTGACTGCCAATGCAGAGCATATGATTTACATGATTCCTACTCACCAAACCATTCTCTCCTGAGTGAAAGGGAGAACTGTCATTCTGAAAATGATCACTTCCATCATGATAAAAATGTTTTATCATAGGATGAAGGTGATCAGTCAGAATAACTTTGCATTGATTTGCAGTAAATGTTCCCTCTAAGGAATAGTGAGCTGTCCACTTCACTGCAGAGATCAAGCATTTACGCATACACAGTTCTCTTGATGTACACTGCACATGCACTCACTGACTTATGGAGAATATCAAAGGATAACTCACCTAACCGTATCACATTTTCCCCACATATCTGTAGACCAGTGTCTGTAGGTTTTGTTACACTTGACTCTTAAACTTCACTTTTCTTTGTAATGAGGGTTTTCTGCACTGCAACCCTACTATAATGTCCACCTTTATGAAATTGTGTTCTTGCTGACAGTCTGATCATGTCCTGCATTGAGATTTTCAGAAGTAGCTGCTCTTCTGTTTTTCCTAATGCACAATTATCATTGTCATGTGCACTCTTGACCACAATTTACAACACTATTCACAGACCTAAATATCACTTCAGTCACTGTCATTAGTGAAACACCTGTCTGCTCATGTCCCAGTAATTAACCCTCAGACTGACCTAGATCTTTTCCTCTTGCCATCTTACCCTGAAATCAAAGTCAACTGAGCTTGCTTCATATTATTATTATTATTATTATTATTATTAAATTGCATCCTAGGATTTGTGCTTATGATTCTCTTATTTAGTCAGGTTTTTCCTTTAATTTGCCACCCAGTTGTATCTTGTGTTTGAGTTTCTCAAATGAACTAATATGACTTTTGGATTTTGTTATCTTTAAAGCTTGGCGAGTTGCCATTTCAGCACAGAACACTGTGAAGTTATTGCATTGGCTGTAAACTCTGCCTCTTCAACCCTGAGAGAACTAGATCTGAGCTATAATGACCTGCAGGATTCAGGAGTGAAGCTTCTCTGTGATGGATTTAAAACCTCTGACTGTAAACTTGAGAAATTAAGGTGACTTTTAGTTTGACTACAAATAAAGCATTTAAAAATTTGGAGCATATTTGAAACAATCCTTTCCGTCCTTATTCATCAAAGTTGTGTGTGTATGGTCAATTTGATCATAGAATCAGAATACAAAACTATTTTGTAAAACAGGAGTGCTACATTTTAACAGCATGAAAAACTCTTGGTTTTTGGTAAATTGCCAAAATGAATACCAGTACCATCAATAATATCAGTAATTATAGAAATAGAAGATGATAAGAATTGCATACACAAGAATCCTTATACTAAAATTGGAGGTAATTCATTTTCAGTGTTGTCAACTTGTAATTTGTAAATGAAAACTGCAGATTCAGATATTTATTACCTTAGTCCTTCAGTTAATTAGTATTTATAAAAAACATCAGATTTAGAACTCATAGAATACCTTAAATGTTGTGCATGCTCATAGAGGAGTACAACTTTGATGAATAACGATCAATGTCATAGCAGTGGAGTAATGACATTTATGTTTTACTGTAATGTTGCCACACAGATTGGGCTGGTGTAAACTGTCTGCAGACAGCTGTGAGATGCTGACTTCAGTATTTAGCTCCAGTTCACCACTGACAGAGTTGGACCTGAGTAACAATGACCTGCAGGATTCAGGAGTGAAGTTCCTCTCTGCTGGACTGGAGAGTCCAAGCTGTAAACTGGAGGTACTGAGGTGAGTAATGAAATAATATACAACCGCAATTCCAAAAAAGTTGCGACGCTGTGTAAAATGTAATTAAATATAAATAAAATCAGAATGTAATGATTTGCAAACCTCATAGACCCATATTTTATTCACAATAGAACACAGAACACACATCAGATTTTGAAAGTGAGACATTTTACTATTTCATGAAAAACATTAACTCATTTAGAACTTGATGGCAGCAACGCATCTTAGAAAAGTTGGGATGGGGCAACAAAAGGCTGGAAAAATAAGTGGTACTAATAAAAAAACAGCTGGAGGAGCAATTTGCAACTAACTCAAATGACTGGGTATCAAAAAGAGCATTTTAGAGAGGCAGAGTCTCTCAGAAGCAAAGATGGGCAGAGGTTCAGCAATCTGCAAAAAACTACATCTAAAAATTGTGGAACAATTTCAGAAAAATGTTCCTCAACGTAAAATTGCAAAGACTTTGGGTATCTCACCATGTACAGTACAGAAATCCCTGTACCCAAGGGACAAGGCCGACAGTCAATATTGAATGCTTGTGATCTTCGGGCTCTCAGGCAGCATTGCATTAAAAACAGGCATGATTCTGTACTGAAAATCACTGCATGGGATCCAGAAATGCCGCCAACTTCTCTGGGCCAACACTCATTTAAGATGGACTGAGGCAAAGTGAAAAAGTGTCCTGTGATCAGATTAATCAAAATTTGAAATACTTTTAGGAAATAATGGACACTGCACAACATTCCTCTCCCAAAACTTCAGCAATTGTTCTCTTCAATTCCCAGACATTTACAGACTGTTGCTAAAAGAAGAGGTGATGCTACACAATGATAGACATGGCCCTGTCTCAACCTTTTTTAAGATGCGTTGCTGCCATCATTTTCTAAATAAGTTAATGTTTTTTCACGAAATGGTAAAATGTCTCACATTCAACATCTGATATATATTCTGTGTTCTATTGTGAATAAAATGTGGGTCTAGGAGATTTGCAAATCATTGCATTCTATTTCTTTACATTTATTTACATTTTACACAGTGTCTCATACAAGGTACTGAATGGCACAACTGTCTAAGCATTAGCCTCATCTTCAAGAGATTGCGAGTTTCATTACCTATGGCCTGAAGTCCAGACCAAGTATAACTGTCTTTGCTCTTTCTGGATGGGTGGAATGGCCCTCCCCCCAACAGTAAACAGTAGGGGTGTTAAAAATTCTATATATACACACTCACTGAGAGCACTTTATCAGGAATACCTTCTTGTTTCTACACTCATTGTCCATTTTATCAGCTCCACTTACCATGGAGGTGCACAATTACAGACTGTAGTCCATCTGTTTCTCTGCATACTTTGTTAGCCACCTTCACCCTGTTTTTCAAAGGTCAGGCCCCCCCAGGACCACTACAGAGCAGGTGTCTTTGCTGTGTCTGATCCACTTGTACCAGCACAGCACACACACTGCTCTAGTGTCCATCCTTGTTCCTATCTGGACCATTATGTGAACTAGCATCTGCAACATCCTCTGTGACACGATTGCTACCCCCTTTTTGTTTACTAATTTGATTGACCACAATCACAGTAATTAAAGCTCATACACTCTTCTTATTGTGTATTTTTTAAAATACAAAGTATTTTTGTTTCTTATGGCTTCTCTCTGTCTTCAATACTGAATTCAGACCCAGGAATGTAAAGAGTACTGAAAAACCCTACTTAAGTACAAGTACTGTCACTGTAGTGATAATGTACTCAGGTACAAGTAAAAGTATTAGTAAATAAAATTACTCAAGTAAGAGTAAATGAGTAGTTTGTTAAAAAACTACTTAAGTTACTTTTTCGTATTTTCACTGTCACAACCTGAATATATTTCTGAGCTGACTCTGCTACATCATTGGAAATAATCTGCATAAAAAAGACACCTGTTAACTAAAGTAGCTGACAGACACTGTAATAAAATATACGCAACAGACTTCAAGTTTAATAAATAGAAGCATCATAAAGAAAGAAGAAAACACGGCACCTGTTTAGCTCGGATCAGCTAGCTTGGCTACTGGAGTCGAGTTGTGAGAGCGGAGATCACAGGTTTCGTGTTTGGCCACTGATAATAAAGCCGTTTTCTTTAGTTCGTGTGAAAATGAACTCATATGACCATTTGGATGCGGTCTGTTGCTTGTGTGTGCTGATTCAGTTCTCCTCTGTCCTTCTCCACTAAACTGGACATCTCTGCAGTGTTTTTCTTGCTGGAGCTGCTGTTTGTTGATTGGTGAATCTTTTCTGTGCTTCATTTTTATTGGTTTAAGAACTGATATGCTGATAATTTATTTTTACTCTGTAACATTATGAAAAGCAGCAGAGTAAAAGTATTTCATTAAATATTAACTCAAGGAAGAGTAAAAGTACTATGATTTCATTCTACTCCAAAAAGTACCATCATAGGGAAAATTGTACTCAATAACAGTAACGAGAGTAAATGTAATTCATTACTTACACCTCTGTTCAAACCAGAGAGTATTATGCCTAAGCTCACCTAAAGTCATACACATGATGTACCCTGTTCTGTGCTTATAGAATCTGCATAGCTAGTGATACTCAGGAATATTGATCATGTTGTATCATCCTTGGTTTTTAAAGGTTGTGTGGGTGTCTAGTCACAGAGGAAGGCTGTTCATATCTGGCTTCAGCTCTTACTTCAAAAACCTCTTTCCTGAGAGATTTGGATCTGAGCTATAACCACCCAGGTGAATTGGGGATAAAACTGCTCACTGACAAACGGGAGGATCCACAGTGTAGATTGGAGAAACTGAAGTAGGTTTCAGAATCTTTTTGTATTTGTAGGTATTAAACTTAAATCGTGCTGAAAGAACACATTCAGTTCCCTTTAAGATATTGAAGATGTCTGTAATTATTGCATTTTTGTTAATACATACAAACAAATTGTCAAATGTTAATGATATTGTAAAGACTGGCATTATGCTATTTGGAGATTCTATAATCTAGTACAGAATGTGAAAAATATTCTGGGTAAAAAAATACATGATTAACTTTTGTATCTGTTTGTTTCCTTTAGTATGCATAGAGGCAGACAGTGTAGGATCAAATCAGGTCCAAGAAAATGTAGGTTTTCATTTTTCTTGTGCACACTCACTCATTTTGTTTCTTTGCTGTACACTCTTAAAAAAGTTATTCATGTTCTTTAGGAAAGACAGTGGTTCTGTATAGTACCATAAACCCTCAAAGAAATGTTTGCATACTTAAATACTTCTTTGCAAGCACCAAAAATTTCTATTGCTACAAGCTTGGCATCATAACAGTAGAGCAACCCTTTTTGGTGCAGTTCTATATAGAACCATATACAGAACATTCTCCATCGGTCTGAAGAACCATTTCACTATACAAAGAACCTTTAAGCACCCACATTTATCAGTCTGAGGGCACTATTTGCACATTGCACTATTTACAATTGCTTTCTGTGCTTTGCATCAATTACATTGTAGCCCAGGACTAAATGGCATCGTAAGCCCTGCAGTCCTCTTTAGTGACATCAAGAATATGCAGATCTATAGGGCAAAAGACCTTGAGGGTAATTGCTTTAAATGCTTGTATTTTTTTGTATTTTTTTACACATCTGAGTATCTTCCTTTCCCCATGTTGGTCAGACAGCTGAAATCATCATGAAAAGCTTTAATATTCTTTTTCAATTCTTACTCAGTCTTCATTATCATACTTTGGGATTTATTATCAGTAGTAAGTCAGTTTAGTAAGTTGAGTAGCGTTCTTTCATTTAATGTAGCAGGCCAGCAGAACAAAATACAGTGCCTTCCATAAAGTTTGGGACAAAGGTATATTTTTTTTGTCTTTGTACACCAGTTTTAAATTTGTACTCAAACAATTCACATGTGGCTAACATGAACATTCTCAGAGGTTAATAAAGAATATTTCTTCAGCATATGAAAGTCATGCTCAATAGGATTCAGATCAAGTGACTGACTTAGCCAGCTAAAACTGTTTTTCAATGTTTCCTTTGTTGCTTTTGCAGTATGTTTGGGATCATTATCATGCTGTAGGATGAAGTACCGTACAAAGAGTTTGGAGGCTTTTTCCAGAATATGAGCTGATAAGATATTTCCATAAACTTCAAATTCATTTTTCTACTGCCATTAGCTGTTACATCATCAATGAAAATGAGTGAGCCAGTACCTGTGGCAGCCACACAGGCTCAGGCCATAACACTCCCACCATCATGTTTTACAAATGAGGGGGTATGCTTTGGATCGAGCTTTTTTTTCACCTCCACACTTGCTCTTGTCAGTACCCTGATACAAGTTAATCTTGGTCTGATCTGTTAGCATGACCTTTTTCAGGAAGTCTGCAGGCTCTTGTAAGTACTTTTTCACAAAACAAAATCTGACCATCTTGTTTTTGTGGCTAAGTAGTGGTTTGCATCTTGCAGTGTAGCCTTTGTATTTCTGTTCATGAAGTCTTCTATTGACAGTAGTTACTGACAAATCCACACCTGCCTCCTGAAAAGTGTTTCTGATCTGTCTGACAGTATGTTTATGGGGATTTTTCTGCATTTCTGTTGAGAATTCTTCTGTCATCAGCTGTGGAGCTCTTCATTACCTTACTAGTCCCTTTATGCTTACTAAGGTCACTAATTCTTTTTTTCTTTTTAATGATGTTCCAAAAAGTTGAAATTGTGAAAAGCCTACAGTTAGGCTGATGTCTCTTACTGTTTAATGGTTGTTTCTCAAACTTATAAGTTTCTTTGACTTTCATTGGCACAGCGACGGTCCTCATGTTGACAAACAGCAAAAGCAGACTCCAAAGTTGCTAAAGGTGAAAGCCTAAAATCAAGGTAGATCCTGAAAATGCTATTCTACTTAAACTAAATTCAACTTAATTAAACACATCTGAGTAATCACACATACCAGTGAAGCCCCAATGTCCCAAACGTGGTGTCTTGAAATTGTGGGCTGGGGGTAGTGCTGTCATTTCTACGTGTTAAGACTAGAATGTATAAAAATACATTTTATTAAAATATGAGAATGTGCACTTTATCCACATGCGAACTGTTTGATCACAAGTATAAAATATTTGGAGTACAGAGGAAAACAAAAAAACGTAATGCCTTTTTGCCAGACATTACAGATGGCATTGTATGTTGGAAATAATAAATGAAAGTTGTACAAACACCTCTTTTGTCACATCCTTTCTCTTTGCAGATGCCTGTGAAGTCACTTTAGACCCAAATACAGCACACCAAAATCTTCGTCTATCAGAGGGAAACCAAACAGCAACTCGTGTGTTAGAACTACAGGGTTATGAGTTACATCCAGAAAGATTCCGTCAGCGTATTTATGTGTTGTGTAGAGAAAGCTTGTCTGATCGCTGTTATTGGGAGGCTCAGTTTAGCGAAGATTTGACAGGCGTGGCACTGACGTATAAAGGAATTCAGAGAGATGGAAGGGGTGATGACAGTACATTTGGAAGCAATGGAATGTCCTGGCAGTTGGAATGTTCTGGTAGCGGGTCTACTTACTATGCATCTCACAATAACAATAGAACTGAGATTTCTGCCCCTTCCATTTACTCAAACAGAGTAGGAGTATATCTGGACTGGCCAGCCGGCATTCTGTCCTTCTACAGCGTCTCCTTGGACACACACGCACTGACCCACATACACACTTTCTACGCTAAGTTCACTGAACCCCTATATGCAGGGTTTACTTTTGGGAATGTTGGCTCAGTAATATCTTTGTGTTAAGAAGCAGGAAAACTAATATTTAGCATTTAAATATCTTACTGATATGCCCACTATAACCAATTAATGGTAATATAATATAACATAGCCAATTACTGCTGCAATATTTATAAGTAATTTCATTGAATTATTTTTGCTGGGCTGTCGGTTTTGGGTCTTACTAAAACAATGACCTAATAGGTGAAATAACACAGGCATGACTTCTATTTGAGCTAGCTGTGCCTTCAGCTGGAATTTTTCCTTGTGCTATGTAAGCAGCTTTATTTAGCTGTACATGCACCAGAATATGAACTGGAATAATATTTTGTGTTTTGGTGGTTATTTTTATGGAGTAAGATTACTGTTAAAAAAGGTACAAAAACATATTCATTGTACACAGAGGTTTGTTTTCATACATTCACACACAGATTAAATCACGCATAAAAATATTATGTCATAATGGTGTGTGTGTTTTGGAAGAATACAATTTTAAAATCTATACAAAATCTATACTGTACCCTCCACAAATATTGGCACCCCTGGTAATCATGAGCAAAATGAGCTGTTCACTTATCCTTTTGATCTTTCATTAAAATATCTAACATTTATTTAATGATGATTGAAAAAAAAAAAACAAGTCTTTTTTTTTCTTAAATCTGTGTGCCTCAATTATCAATAGAGTCTGGCTGCAGACATGCACTCTCAACCAGATGCAGTCTCAGCCCCAGTGATGTCATGTGCACATACACTCTCTGCCACAATTTCATCACTTAATCCATTTTTCGTCCATAACATGGCTAGAGAGTTACATTTAATGTACCCCCCTGTTGAAAAAAAGCAAAGAACCCATTTAAAGTGTTGTTGGTTCCTGGTGGTTTTCAGTAGTTGCTAATGGTATTCTGTGTTTTCCTGATGGGTTGATATCACAGTGTAAAGGATTCTGATTGTTTAGTCAGGTGTTTTGGGACTGATTCCACATACATTTGATTGTTTCCTAATGGCCTCTAACGGTAACCATCAAGCCAGTTCCCATTAGGATGCAAAACCATCAGGTTGTGACAACGTACTGTTTTGGTGCCCACAATGTTGTCTGCTTGGTACTCTCTACACTGTCACAACGTTGAAATAAGTGTAATTCCTCAGAAAGTTATGACAACGTTGTTTGACAACTTTCTAGGAGGTTGTGACGACGTTGACGACACAGCAAAATTAATCGATACTACGTTGACTATGTTGTCACAACCTCCTAGAATCATTAAAAAGTTCTATTTTAATCAATATTACAGTTTTGATAACCGGTTCTAATCACCTTCAGTATGGCTTTCATTAGTTTCAGTAGCCTTTTTGTTTTTTCTGTGAATAGACCTGACATTTATGTCTTATCGTCGTGGCAGGTTTTATTTCGAAAGTTTCCATGTTTAATTACCTTATTATCAGTATGGCAACATTAATATACATTCAGTGTAACTGTTGTTGTTTTTCTTCATAAAACCGACAAAAACACTGTCGTGGCAAAGCGTGCACTGATGTCATCAATAGGCTGGCGGTGCATGTCAGGCTGAGAGTGCCTGTCTGCAGCCAGACCCTTCTCTCAATTATCGGCACCCCAAAATATTCTTAAGAGTGAAATCTAAGTGGAGCATATTCCCATTTATATTTTATGTTTTTTAAGTTCACCTGAGCGATTAGGGATATATAAATGATCCGCCAAGATGTCCTGATTCACTAGGGAATATATACAAGATGAAAATTCTCTCAGTCATACATTGTTATGAGACAGATGAGGTACCAGAAGAAAGCTTCTGCCGTCAAGGACCAACAAACTGAAGCTCCTACAGTTTGCCAGACATTACTGGAACCTTCAGTGGGACTGTGTTCTGTAAGACCAAAATAGAGGATTTTGGCAACAAACACCAGAGATGAGTTTCACGTAGTTACTAAGACAGCCATGCAGTAAGTACCTCATCCCAGTATAGTGCTGGATCTGTGATGTTGTGGGGCTGTTTTTCTTTTAAAGGCCTTGGACAAATTATTCAGATACATGGTATCACAGACTTTACCAAGAACCAGCAGATATTAAATCGAAACCTGACTTCCTCAGCCAGGAAGCTTAAACTGGGCCATAGTTTGGATCTTCCAGCAGGACAATGATTCAAAACATGCCTCAAAATCAATACAAAAATGGTTTTGCCTTGGCCACCCCTGATCTAAACCTCATAGAATGCCTGTGGGCTGAGCTCAAGAGGAGAGTCCACAGGTTAAGGAGAGGTTCTGTATGGAGGAACGGTCTCAGATGATTTTATATGTGTTCTCCAGTATCATTAAGTATTATAGGACAAGATTTTAATCTTCAATCATTGTACTTCAAGAAATGTTTTTGTTAATATTTGGAATGAAAGATCAAAAGGATAAATCCATACAGTATGTTTTTACAGCCTGTTTCCCTCATGTTTCCCAGCAGTGCCAGTATTTGTGGAGGGCACTGTATAAAGATTTACACATACAACTTCAACTATTACAGGTATGAGCTCTTAGTTATGAATATGGATCGAAAAGCAAGAAATGACATACTAGCCTGATGATTTTTCATTTGTCTTTAAAGGGAACCTATTATGCTCATTTTCAATGTTCATTATTTTCTTTTTCACTGGACACTATTCAAAAATATATTCAATGTTTATGACTCCAAATGACCAAAAAAAAATCTTTTTTTTCTCCTTTCTTTTTCTTTTTTCCCACCACATTTGTAGATCCTTGGTAATGTACTTGTATATTTTTGTGTTATGTGTTGTGTAGTGCATCCCTTGGTCTATATGTACTCAATAAAAAAAATAAAAAATCAAAAGACTGTCGAAAATACATCATTGGGGTCAAAGGCCAAATCAAACTAGAATAGATTTACAGGCTCCAGTGCTCCAAAAACACATTGTTGTATTCATACTGTACATCTATATTCTCCCTCTGTCTGAAATACTCTATTTGAGCTTCTATGTCTTTAAGTCCTTCTTCCAGCACCATGTGTGCTCTGATTGGTCAATTCGACCACTCTGTTCTGTTCTGTTCTGTTTGCTAAATCACTAGAGCAGTTGAAAGGGGTTTCGTCATCCTGCCGAGCACACTGTAAAGTGTTTTGAGGGAACAGTGGAGGGAACCATCGTAAAAATGAATTTCAACCCTGACTTGTTTGTTGTTCTACCTTTGGCAGAGCATACAATGGAGAATCTTTTTTTTTTTAATTTTGGGTTTTTTTTTTCTAAAGGTAGGCCATCAATAAAGGCAAACTGTAAAATACTATGATGTTGACTTGGGTCAAAGTCCGTAACGCAGCTTTATTTTTAATTTGCTGAAAATGGCGACAAACACGGTGAGAAGGAACAGCCTTTCCAGCGCTAACAGCTAAAAACACAGCCCTCTGCTCTACTCCAGAAAACCCACCACTCCACCCACATTCAGGCCCCTGAAAAGTCTTTGTGTGAATGAAACTAAAGTAGATCAATAAAGACATTTCTTCTCTTTGAAAAACTGAACTACTTTCTGCCAATTTTGGACCTCGAGTTAGACCAACAAAAGTGGTTTCGGTGGGAGAGAGTTTCTCCTTCTGGCGTGTACGTTAGACTTCATGACTTTGCAGACCTTAACATGCACAAAAAGGTACAGAACACATTAAAGGAAAGGGAAAACCAGAAACGCATGATAGGTCCCCATTAAAGATGTTAAATTATGAGAAAGGGAAAATTTTATAATAAATATAATTTCATTGGTACCAAACCTTTCTTTCTCGCTTTCGAGAATGAACTTGATTAATACGTGGTCACTGGACACTATTCAAAAATATATTCAACGTTTATGACTCCAAATGACTAAAAAATGTTTTCTTTTTTTTTTCTCCTTTCTTTTTCTTTTTTCCCACCACATTTGTAGACCCTTGGTAATGTACTTGTATATTGTTGGGTTATGTGTTGTGTAGTGCATCTTTTGGTCTATATGTACTCAATAAAAAAAAAAAAATCAAAATACATCATTGGGATCAAAGGCCAAATCATTGACAGTTTTTTTTTTAATGGAGTGCAAATGCTATGAATACAGAAATGTCAAGATAATATACAGAATGTACAAAAAGCGCTACAACACATTAAGCAGTGTGCTTGTACTCATTGTTTTAACTGCCTTTTTTGTTTGTTTTTGGAGTGGATAATAGAATTTGTGTTATTTACTTTTATAACATAAAAGTTAAATAATATTTTCTAATTTTGTTAATTACAGCGGTTACAGTGCCAAAACAGGTGGAGAAGAGTTTCTGGGTATACATCACTACATGAAGAGTTGACCGTGACATTCTTTTTAAACTTAACAGGAAATTGGTTTACTGAATAACATCTATGTATAATTTTACAAGCAACTTCCTTAATTTTATTTTATTTTTTTGCTAACAGGCATTTAGAAAATAAAGCCTATATGTTTTTCCAATCAAGGTTATTTATAGCTAATTCCAGTATATGGCCACATAAAGTTTAGAAATGACATCTCTCTGAAACAACCTGCTGATGACATTTGGATAATTTAATGGGTATTTTTTAGTCTGTAGGAGCAAGTAAAGTAAACTGAAATCAAGGCAATCAAATTTGAACAAAATATAATGAGGTGTGCTGTTCCAAATAGAGGTATTGTTATTTAAGAATTGTTTAATCCAGTTGACTTGAACGTATTATTAAGGGTGAATCCTACTGAATTCAGAATATCTGATTTTTTAATGCAGTGAATTTAGTTTTTCCAGACAAAATTAAAAAGTATGTTATCAATTATTTTAGAGATTTGATTGTTAACATGCAGTGAAATAGTAATATAAGTTTGTCTTCTGCTTTATTCAAAAGAATTCTTCCTTTTATTGATAGATCCCTCTGCAGCCAGTGATTCAGCCAGTGGGGGTCTTGACCATTGAAGAACAGGGTAACAAAGTATGCAGAGGAACAGATGGACTACAGTCTGTAATTGTAGAACTACAAAGTGCTCCTATATGGTCAGTGGAGATGATAAAATGGACAATGAGCGTAGAAACAAGGAGGTGAAGCGGCTGATCAGTGTACATATAAAACATAGCAGATGTTATAATAAGCCAATATAATAACAATATTTTATTGTCACCTCCTTACTCCTTACTTATTTACCAAGATAATGTTACTAAGCGAAGTTCTGAAAATCACCTTGATATAACCTACAAAGTCATAGAAAGCATGCACCTCTTACATGCCCACAGTGGTCATTTCAGTTAACATAGGTTGTACTGCAGCAGCAGTTACGTGGAATGTTCTCCCACCTACCCAGGGTTTGATTAGATACTTACAAAAATGAAGTAAATATTGATTTATAAATGCAAACATGCATTCTGCTGATCTGGACGCACCCAGACTAGAGTGTCGCAGCCCCCTCTTGTGGACAATCTTGTTAAATGTGAGTGAATGAGTTACAACCCAGTTCCATGAAGTGCTTCGCTTCTATGATCACCAAGGTCGACTTAAAAGGAGAATACTGAGCTGAAATGGTGAAGCAGGAATTAAAGGGGGTGAAGGGGCATTTCTGTGTGGGAGACATTAAGAGAAAAACATGTCTATCACCCAAATATACCATGTGAATTAAAATAGATGTTTGTTCCTATGTACGTAGTTATTAGTGTTTAAAGTCAATTCATAAAGCATGCTTTTGTGGCTCTGTAACATTTAAACCCACCTCCCAATATCTATGCTTAATGTCACGCTCCAAGGTTCACCCCACTCCTCTTTGCCTCGCTTGGTGTCACCGGCTTAATTATCACTGGCTCTGCCCCTCACCTCATCTTCATTCTGCTCCCTTTTTAACCACAGTTGCCTCACTCTGTGTGATGTCTGTGGTGTGGTACTAGTTTCCAAGCCTTATTCTGCTGTTATTTATCTGCTGGCTGTTTTTTTATTTTTTTTATTTTGCCTTTTATCAGATGGTCACAAAAAATATGAGATCAAATGTAGCTCAACTTGTCAGATCTGTTATATGATGAAATTGAACAACACTACTCATAATTTCGTGTTATCTGGTAGAGTCTGAGTTCTGAATGAGTTTTAATGTGAACAACAAGTGATCTGAGGACACATCAATGAGAAAGAGAACCAGAAAAAGAACCAAGTTTAAAGAAAACACCCTTACAAACATTTGTATGTGCTGTTAAATACTTGCATATGTACACCTACTGGTAGCTCCATACTGAGAAGAGTTACCAAACAGCCTGTCTGTGGAAACTGAAACCGCTTAAAGGAGAGACACTGGGCACTGTGGGAAATGTAGTGTGTAGTTTAGTCAAGGTTATAATGGGAAACGTTAAAGCTACATATGGACTTTTTTTACTGTGATTATAGTGGAGCACTGCAATATTTTACCAGGCCAAGTGCACCAGAAGATTGTGTCTAGTGACGACCCTGTAATACAGTGCATGAAGCATTATATTTATAAAGAACTGACAACTGAATGTCACTACTGAAACCAACATGTCAAAACAGTTTGTTTTAGCAGTTACATGTTTTAGTTGTGACTGTTTCAGTTGTGACAATCCGAGCTAATTTGGCATTATCTGTAAATGTGTAAATGTATGCTATGTTAGATGAAAAACTAGCAAAAATGAATTATTTAAGTGTTTTATTGTCATACAAGTAATTTCAGGGTTCAGGCTTGGGGAAATACAGTGCTCAGTACAGAACAGCATATAAACTTTTTTATCAAATTATTAGTTAAAATACAGGGTGATCTAAAAAGATTCAAAAATCACATTGCACAGTTATGACAGATTCACTCTTATTGAAGTAAAGAACGCAGAACGCTTTCTGCTCAGGGGTCTCCATCTCTTCGCAGACTGGAGGAAGCCGTTTTTCAGTGACAGTCAGAAACTCTATGACCCCCTTTTTAAATTGCACCTCACGGTTGTAAAAATATGGCACTTTAAAATCGGATGAATCTTTTTGAATCACCCTGTAATTCACTTGTGTTGTTGAGTATTAAATGCGATGTGTGTTAATATGTTTCCCATTTCTGCATGTAATATGTATAAAATGTATATAATAAATTAAATATGTAAGCTAAGTTAGTTTAGTTAAGTTACCCTTATTAGTCCCACAACAGGGAAATTTCACCTCTGCTTTCTAACCCATCCGTGCAGTGAAACACCACATACACTCTACTGAACACACACACTAGGGTGCAGTGAGCACACTTGCCCGGAGTAGTGGGCAGCCCTATCCATAGCGCCCGAGAAAAAGTTGGGGGTTAGGTGCCTTGCTCAAGGGCAGTCAGGTACTGTCAGCTCAGGGGTTTTAAATACTAGTGATTAGGCAGATGATACATGACGCATGTGTGGTGTTCTTTGGGGCAATTTAACACTCAGCAGGTAGAGGTCAACACACACAAAGCAAATTCATAAAAACCAGGAAGCAACGCAAGAGTCAAACACAGAAAAACCACAACCAGGAGAAACATGGCTCAGTAAAATATCACAGAGACGTCACAAGGAACACAAGATGCAACCAGCTTTTATCTACACTCATTGTCCATTTTATCAGCTCCCCTGATAGTAGTTCTACAGTTACAGACTGTAGTCCATCTGTTTCTCTGCATACTTTGTTAGCCTGTTCTTCAATGGTCAGGACCCCCAGAGAGCAGGTGTTATTTGGTTGGTGGGTCATTTTCAGCACTGCAGTGACATTTTCAGCACTGCAGTGACACTCACACTGGTGGTGTGTTAGTGTGTGTTGTGCTGGTGCGAGTGGATCAGACACAGCAGTGCTCCTGGAGTTTTTAAACATTGTGTCCACTCACCGTCCACTCTATTAGACACTCCTACCTTGTTGGTCCACCTTGTAGATGTGCAGTCAGAGACGATAGTTCATTTGCTGCTGCACTGTTTGTGTTGGTCATCCTCTAGTCCTTCATCAATGGTCACGGGATGCTGCCCACAGGACGCTGTTGGCTGGATACTTTTGGTTGGTGGACTATTCTCAGTCCAGCACTGAAGTGTAACATATAAGCTCAGTAATTGTTGGCCATAAGATGGTGTATATACTAGCTAGTTATGTTAGCTAACTTCTTTTGTCGAACCTGAAGTTGGATTCCTCAAATTTTGCATTCCATCATAAATGGCAGCAGAGAGGAGGTGCCTGAACGTAACTGCTGAAGGTTTATGCTGAATTAAACTTCTTAAAATGCTTTTTTTCTGAATAATAATAATAGTAAATAGTAAAAGTCTCATAGTATGGGTTATGAATGTATATAAACAAATAACACAAATTATTAATGTAGGATGTGACCACCAATGTTCAAACGGTACACTAGTAGTAAAAATTGTGCTTTATAATATCAAAAAGGTTCTCCACACAAAGGAAAACATTCCTTATGGAACCATATCCAACTGGTTTTCTTTAATAAAGAAGAACCATTTAACCAAGCAAAGATTTATTTCAAGTTCAGTGTTTGCATCCAAATGGTTCTTTAAATTTTCAGTACATTTTCACACAGAACCACTGTATCAGAGGAATGACTGATAGGGAGTGGAGAGGAAGGAATCTGCCCCATGGGGCATTGGGTCATTAAACAGTTTGCCCCCTGCAGGTTATGTAATGGTTAGTTTGCCTCCTCCAGTCATGATTACTGGAGAGCACTTAGCAAAAAGTAGCATATGACAGTAAACATTACAGCATCTCTCACAGTTACTGATGATGATAACATACTGTTATATTACTGAACCTTATCGGTCATAATAACCTACCATTACATGTTTATGCAGCAGGCTTCAGGTAAAGTGTTCTCAGCAAAATAAATAAATATATGTCACCGGAGAAAAAGACGCACACCAAATGACAAAATACTTTTTCGGGTATTTTATTCTGATAG